CCCGTTTAAAGTTTAGAAGGTCTCCATTGAAGCTTTTTTTGAAGACAGTCAAAAATCTGGTGCGATTTTTCCTTATAGTGGTGGAAGCTTCACGGTTTTTACTAGTTCCTTGAGATTTTGCAGACTTTGAGATGAAAATTCTCAGGTCCCATCTACAGGATTTTGGTATTATATAACCTCCTTATAATACTGAACTAGAAAGGCAAGGTGTTAATTTTGGATTCAGAAAAAAATAATAATTTTGTAGTTCTGAAGAAAATTCAGAATTGCTTCCATTCATAACCAGAATCAAGATTTTTTTTTTTTTTTTTTTTTTTTTTTTCTCTGAAAAACGCCGGTCATTTGCTAATGTTTACTTCAAAGGTTGCTGAGCCAAGGCACGGAGTTGAAAAGGTGACATTTAAAGCAAGTCATAAATTTCCAGCCTTCATGCAGGGGCTGCAGCGTGGCTCACCTGAATGAGCAGCATTGTGTCGGGGCAGGAGCCAGAGCCAGGTCAGCCCAGCCGGAGGGACAGTGGGGCTTGTGGAGTGAGGGACCACCAATGGGGCGTCCTGGTTGAGTCTTGTGTTCGCCGTGTAGGGGGCACCCATGCAGAGCACCCAGAGGGGTTGTTTGGCTGTGAGTGGGTGTTGCGCGTCCCACAGCTGAACCAGGGGACAGGGATGTTGTAGGGCTGGATGGCACAGCCATCCCTTTGTCTCTCTGGGCAGCATCTGCTGCTTTGGCTTCCTGAGCGTTTCTCAAGTGCTTGAACATTCGTTCAAGGGAGGATGGCAGGGTACCATGGGCTTTTCCTCTGTGTAGCCTGTTTTTTTTGGGCTGGATTGTGCTTTTATAGGGGTGAGAAGCTGCTCCAGGGAGCATCGCTGCAGTATGACCATGGTGTTTTTATCCCAAGGACAGATCAGCCCTCAGGAAGGTGTTTCAGGGACTGACTTTGCCAAGGTCTTTGTACCACGGTTCCCCTTCAGGTATGCCCATGAAGATGATCTCCAAGTCCCATCCCATGCCCAGCCACACAACTTTCAGCAGCTCCATGCCATCAACTTTGGGAAAGGCAATAGTAGGATGGTTGATTATGTTTTTAGCTCTGAGCAAGCCCTTGCCAAGGGGAATTAAGAGAGCTGCTGTGCCTCTCAGACCTTTCTTGCCTTGGTAGGTAGGTGAAGAGCAGCCAAGCTGTGGAGTCATCCCTGCACTGGGCTAGGATAGCCCATTGGTGGCAACTGGTGGCTGTGGCTAGTGGACCTCTGTGACCACCAAGCTTGTGTAGTGGCTCTTGGTGCTTTACCTCAGCAGATAGGGAGAATTTGGCCTTCTTGGCTGTCCCTGAGTCCACCAAACCTGCTGGGACTAGTTGTTCCCCACCTCTTCTACAAGACCCACCAGCCTGCAGGACCATGTGAATTGTCCATCTGGGCTTGTGCCAGTCACCTAAAATTGAGGAGATGGTACTGTGCCTCTAGGTCCCCCTTTCCATCCCCCCTGCTCTTTGAAAGGGCCAAAAGTGGTCATGGAGAGGCAGTGGGCACGGGAGTGCAGCCTCTCTGGACGCTCCTGTGACACCTGTGTGGGACTGAACACCTCCTTCCCTTGGGCAAGGAGACCTTGAACAAGCTGACCCTGCTCCGCAGACCTCCTGGAGGACATGCTTAAAAAAACACACATGCATACTTAAAACCTTGCTATTTATTTGCCTTTTGAGCCTCATAAAGGAGATGTGTTTTGCCCCCACACATGCTGGCTCTGTTGGAAAGGTCAGAGCCATCTGACAGGCTGTTGATACCCCCTGGCTCTTGGGCACATGGGATGGGACCTGAGGGATGAACTACAGCTTTAGTATTTCCAGAGATGCTGTGCCCTCCAAAACAAATTCAATTAACCAGGAGGGGGAAAATGTGGCTGTGGGATGTGCCAAGCCCGTGGTTCCTCTGGCTCCTGGCCCTGCTCCGTGCTCAGATCCTGCAGGATGCAGCTCCTCTGTCTCTGGAAGGGCTTGGTGTGGGGAGCGGGGCTGGCTGGTGAGAGTGGTACCCATGGTGGGGGCAGCTGGAACAGCCCTGATGGCTTCTGGGGGGGGTTCCACACCCCACTATGTTCTCTGCCCTGGGGTGATGAGCTGAGCTGTGCAGCCAGACCTGTCCGTGACTCCCTCCGTGATGCTGCCAAAGCCTAGTCTCTGTGCTCAGCCAGGGCAGAGCTGCATTCCACTGGGATTTTGGAGATAGGAAAACCCCCTGTCATTCTCCAGTGCTTCCCCATCCTCCTCTGGGTCTGAACCTCTCTGGTGAAACGGTCCCAGTGGGAAGGGGTATCTCTGCCTCCACTTCCCAGTAGGAAAACGGTGATGTGCTGCTGGCATTGCCTTGGACACGTCTGTTTTCCAGACCTTTGTGTGAAAAGATGGCAGACTGCTGCTCTCTGGAAAAGAAAAGACTTGGAAGTAGCATACAAATGGACAAAGTTAGGGGAAGATGAGTTGTGGCAAAACCAAGTGCCCAAAACATTGAATTGCAGCCGGATTCAGGCAGCTCCTTTGTGCTGATGGGCAGCAGCGCTGACCTGGAGGGTGTGTTTTGTCCCTCTGCTCCTGGCCCTGTCTCCTGTGAGGATTTGCTCTGTCCTGGAGCATGGAATTGACCCCTCTACCTCTCCCTGCTGGAACTGGGAGCATGGCAAAATATGCAGGGAATTGGCCAGAGAGCCCTGATGCAGAACTTTGTGCATGTTTTTGATCATCTTTTTGGGCTTCCTCTTACTTCGTCCAGTTCCAGCACATCCTTCTCCAGCTGGAAGCACAACTTTCATGTGAGGGTACACCATGCATTTATGTGCTGGCAGAGCGATGTTCTCAGTTCAGCCCTTTTGCTTTTTTTTTGATAATCTGAGCCTGGAGTGGCAACAGCCAGCGCAGGACCCGTCATTGCAAGTGAAAGCAATGCTCCCATCTTTTACCACCTGCCTTAGAACCAGCTCTTTGCCCAGGAGATGATGATCCTCTTGGTCCAGGGTGGCAGAACCCTTGGGAAAAGATGGTGCTGCAGGCTGCTGGGGAGGCCAGGCAGGCTGTACCAGTGCCCCAGCATCCCTCCACAGGGGACCTCGTGGGTCCAGGTTGTCCACCCCTCTGCTCTTCCCTTCTTAGTTGTGGTTTCTGCTAGCTTGTCGGATGCAAGAGTCAGACTTGCTGATCTCTGGTTCCTCCAGATACTCCCAGGTTTCTTTGAGGTTGCCATTGTGTTGCTCCTTCCAGTTTTCTAATCATATTAATATTAAGCAATATTAAGCACAAAGCTACAGATCCCACCCAACCGTCCAGCTCTTTCCTACCTGAATTGTAAACAATTTGCTGCTTGACTTATTTCCTCCCAGTCCTCTCCTCCTGGCCAGTGAGGCAGGTTGGACCCTAACCCTAACCCTTGCCATGCACCAGTGATATAGCAAGCTGCAGAAAATGAGTAGGAGGTCGGCTCATTAGCAACTCCCTCATAATAAATACACAAAGGAAGCGTGGACACACAAAACTGAGTTCATGGAACATGATGGATCTGACCTTGGAGGGCTTGGGGCTGCAACCTCAACATGACCTTTTAATTTACCTCCTTGCACAGGGTGCTACTGAATGATCAGGCTAATTAGCTGCACCTGCAGCACTCCAGCTCCCTTTGGAAAAAGCAGCAAAACCAATTCTCTTTAAGAGAAGTGAAAGAGCTAAATTTGTCCCTAAATTTCTCCCTAAGTCTCTTGTTAGAGAAATCTGTGTTATTAATCTGGGACAACCTGCACTGACTCAATCCTGGGCAGGTAACACAGCATGTGTCTGGCTGTGGCACGTCTCGATGAGCACAGCTGGGCAAGAGAAGTTGTCCTTCTTATTTATCACACAATGCAAACGGGGCTTACGGAGCCCAGTCCCAGGCTCAGGGGGGAACACCGTGGCTGGCAGGGGGCTGTGGGTCAGGAACTGGGAGGAAGAAGAGCATTAATAATGGCACCACCATAAATCACTGCACTTCACATGGAAACCTCTAAATGGCTCAGTGCAGCGAAGATCCCTCCTGACTCCGGAAACGCTTATCCAGCAGCTTGAATCAATTTATAGTCCAATGTGTGTGCGTGTGTGTGTGTGTGTGGTGTGCACAGCTCAGCCAGGGCCCCGTCCTGGCTGCTGTGGACGATGCGTGGGAGCTGCAAGTGCGGTTTGAAGCACCTTTGCTCTTGGCGTTGCTGTGTTCCACAACTGTATCTTCGGTGGCTTGTTAATTCTTTGGAAACTTGCTGAAAAGGAGGGGGGGCGGGGTGGGGGGGAAGAGAGCAAAACCCCCATGAGAGGGCAAACAAGCTACTAATGCAGCATCTCTGCCCATCCCCGCAGCGTGACCCTGCCCGATGTCCTGGGGAAGCCGGCCAGCACCCACCTGGACCAGAACATGTACCGGTTTCGCAGCACCAACCTGGAGCAGATAGTGAAGGCAGCTCTGAAGCTCAAGCATGAGGACTCGAGCCTGTCAGCAGCCCTGGAACAGGCAGAGGACTGGCTCTCCAGGCTGAAGGCCATGGCAGAGGAGGTAACTTGGCTGCGATGGTGGCAGGAGCTGCTTTTCACCTAGGGGGAGTTGGACTAGATGATCCCTAGAGGTCCATTCCAACTCTGACGATTCCGTGATTCCATGAGAGGTCTTGTTCTTCCCAAGCTCACCATCATGGTGGTGTTTTGGTGCAACAGCTGTGAGCAATCGCCCGGCGGTGTGGTGGGAAGCAGAATGGATGCTGCTCTCGCAGGCAGAGTCCTGCCCCTCCATGCAAGGGTTGTACCCACATCCCACCACAGTCATGTGAAGTGAGTTAGGAAGGTGATGGGTTTGGCACCTGGCTGTTGAGATTTAGCCTTGTTCATGCCAGAGTTTTACAGCAGGGTGAGTAAACCCTCAAACAAAGCTGCTGCAGCAAACTGGGCTGGATGTGGAGGACAGAGCTCGGGGAAATGTGAGGCTGCTCTGCCCTGTCCAGACCCAGATGGGACCAGAAGCTGCTGAGACAGGGTTCAGGTGGAATGGTCTCACTCCATGGGCTTGGGTTGGCAGCAGGACTTGGGGCACGACTGTGTTCCAGCCTCCCATGTCCCTCTGTGGCTGATGGGCTCATTTGGAGACTCCTGGTCCTGGTTGGACACAACAGCTTTTGTGTTTTTCAGCCCCAAAACAGCCTGCCCGATATAGTGATCTGGATGCTGCAGGGAGATAAGCGTGTAGCATACGCACGTGTGCCAGCCCACGAGGTCCTCTTCTCCAGGAACATCTCCAACTGCTGTGGCAAGAACTGTGGGAAGCTGCAGACCATCTTCCTGAAGGTACCTTGGCTTCTGATGTACATGCATGCATGATACTCAGTTTTAAAATATTTTCCCCTAAAAAAGTATATTTAGAGAGAAAATCATGTAGGGAAACCTGAAATCACAACACATCGGGCTGTCTTTAACCTGCAAACACCCGGGCCTCTGGGAACACCCAGCCCCAGTTTTGACGCTGTTGAAGCTGGTTCCTGCATGGTGAGAGCCTGGTCATGCTTCTGGTAAGAGTTCAGCTCCTCTTTCGTGGATCTGCAGCAGATGTCCGTGAATATCTTCATATTTCCTGCCAGTTACAGGGCAGTGAAGATGGGCACAGTTTGGGCCAGATGGTACTTTAAAAAAAAAATACATCTATTTAATTTTTTTTTTTTAATGTTATTTTATGTTTCTCAAAATTCTTGACCCTTTGCCACCCCAGGAAATTTAAGCTGTGGCCTCCTCTGCCAGGCACTTACTGAGCTTCTCACATCTCAAATGATATTTCTTTGGCCTTTCGCTGCCTGCCAGCTTGGGAGCAGACAATCAGTGCTGAACAAGCTCTAAAAAAATAAAGTGAAATAAAATAAACTGAATAAACCCCAAAACCCCAAGCCCAGCTGGCAGCAAAAGATGAACCAAAATATATTGTTTTTTTCTGCACTTTAGCTCTGGATGGAAAACTAGCATCACTTGAAGGGGAAAAAAGAGTGACTGAGAGAGAGAAAAAAGGGCAGTGAGACATCTCCGTGTTTATTCTTTCTATTTTTGCTGAAGTATGTTGGCTGGGTTTGTTGCCCTAGCCCTGAAGGGTGTCTCCCTGAGGCACAGAAGCCCTGACCACCAGGGCTTTGAAGCTCCTCAAGGTCATCCCCAAAGTGCTCTCTACACTGTTGATGTTGTCCCAATTCCCAGGGATGCTCCATGTCCCATCTACCCCCCTGCATCCCTGGCTGGGGCTACGGGGGCTTCATACCCACCACCCCCAGCCTTGTATCCCAAGCATCCCCCATTAATATCCTTCTCGGGGATATTAACGGGGCTCTACCTTTGGCAGTACCCCCAGGAGGAGGCGATGGGTCCCAAGATCCCAGCCCAGATCCGGGTCCAGCTCTGGTTCGGGCTGTCGGTCGACGAGAAGGAGTTTAACCAGTACGCCGAGGGAAAGCTCTCCGTCTTTGCCGAAACGGTGAGCATCTCACAGGGACCAGACTAAATGGGGTTTTTTTTTCCTCTCCGGCATGGGCATCGGCTCCACCATAGAGGGGAGGGAGTGGGCTGGACTGGGAGCGAGGGCATTGCCATTGGCAGGTGGGGGTCGCATCAGCCCCAATCAACCATGAGAAGAAAGAGAAGTTTCCACCAGTATCCAACCTGAAAGGCTGGGGAGAATGTCAGTAATGAGCCACAAAGCCACATTGTGGCTTCACACTTCCTTCTGCCTACTGCAGAGGAAATCAGGGGGTGCCCATGGGGTAGGGGATGGTGGTGGGGAAGGAGTGAGGCTCTCCCCAGGAAGTCTGTCCTCAGGATGGAGCTCTGCAGAAAGAAAGGGATTATTCATGGGATTTCAAAAGGATTATTCACGGGATTTTGTGCCTCCAATGCAAACTCCTCTCTGCTTTTGCTCCCCCAGTACGAGAACCAGACCAAGCTGGCACTGGTGGGGAACTGGGGCACTACTGGTCTGACCTACCCCAAATACTCAGATGTCACCGGCAAGATCAAGCTGCCCAAGGACAGCTTCCGCCCCTCCACGGGCTGGACCTGGGCCGGTGACTGGTTCATCTGCCCGGAGAAGACGTGAGTGACGGTTTTCTGTGAATAGCTGAGCCTGAGTGGGCTGTTGTGGGCACCCCAAAAACCTAAGCAGATGCTAACCTGGTGAGAAGGTCACCCAGAAAGCTGGCTGGAGGTCTGGGGTGCCATGGGGGTTCCATGTCTGCCTGCCCTGTCTGGTAAGGCAACAGGGTAAATGCAAAATGCATCGTTTCTGCAATGGGTGTTGTCCCTGATGTAGTGGGTGCTGCACAGGTGCTCATGGACACGGTGACTCCAGAATGCAGCTCACTGGGGTGCCTGTGCGAGCCCCATGCTGAGGAGCTTTGGAGGTGGAATCCCAGCGGGGTACAGAGGGGATGGGAGGGAATGGTGGATGCTCAGCACAGCTCTGCCATCTTCTTGCATTGGATTTACAGCCTGTGTTTTGGGCTTCACCTGAAACATGTCTCATGGGAGCTTTGTTTGGTGCCTCTGGGGTCAAAGAGGCTCAGCAGACAAAGCGTGTGCTGGGGTGGTGTGGCCGGCTGCAAGAGGAGGGAAGACACAGGGCTGTGCTGCTGCCTGTGTGGGGCTGGGAGGGCAGGAGGCCTCTGACGCCATGCATCTCTGGGGTGCAGGTTGCTGCATGACGTGGATGCTGGGCACCTGAGCTTCGTGGAGGAGGTGTTTGAAAACCAGGTTCGGCTGCCTGGAGGCCAGTGGATCCACATGACTGATGCCTACACCGACGTGGTAAGGAAGAGTCAGGCACCTGGGGGGCTGAGCCACCACCCCAGGCTGCAGCGGCAGGAAGCCCCCAGGGGCTCAGGGGAGATTTAGGCATCTGCTGATCACTGTTTGGTTGAAAATACCTCTGTGTCCCACAGAATGGGGAGAAGGTCCTGCCTAAGGATGAGATTGAATGTCCTCCGGGCTGGAAATGGGAAGATGTGGAGTGGGACACGGACCTTAACAGAGCTGTGGATGAGAAAGGTATCAGAAAGCAGTTTTGGGCAACTGTCCTGTGTTTTGTCCCCTTCACTCTGGCCATTGTGGTGCTTCCTTCCACGGTCCCATCCAGCAGCAGGGATGATAGCATCCTCTTTGTGGCTGTTTGAGCTGCCCTGCTGGCTTCAGGAGAAGACGGTCAGGCCCTTGGGGTGCTGCACCCTCTCCCCCTTGCTGTGGCTGCAGTGTGGGCAGTCACAAAGGCAGTGCTTTCCTTGCTGCTGGGGAGGAAGGAAGATCTTACCTGTCTCCTGGTGAAGGAGAGATTGAAAACATCAGGCCAGAGAGCAACCAAGATGGTCACAAGCACTGGGGTTGCCTGAGGAAGGAAGGACAGAGAGGAATATCCCCAAGCTGTGACTTCGAGCCAAGAGCTGCTGGGACACCATGAGTCCATCACCTGGGCATTCCCAGTGGGACACCTCCATTTGGTAGCAGCATGAGTAGGTCTTTTATCTGTGTGGACCAGTGAACTGGGAAACTGTGTTGTGCCTGGACAAACCTTTGCTGTTTAAGCTGTTCCAACCCGGACATACATGAAGAGTCCTGTCCTGGGGGGAGGCAAAGTGGAGGCTCTTCTCCTTCCTTCACCCAGCTGTCCCTTTCTCTCCAAGGCTGGGAGTATGGCATCACCATCCCACCGGACCGCAAGCCCAAGGCCTGGGTGCCAGCTGAGAAGATGTACCACACCAACCGGCGACGGCGCTGGGTGCGGCTCCGCCGGAGGGACCTTGCACAGATGGAGGCCATGAGGAAGGTAGGAGAGGGGCTGAGGAGAAGAGGGTGAGAGTGGGTTGGGGCTGTGTCCCTGTCTCTGTGCAGAGGTGGAGGTGCTTGGCCTTCTGCAGAGACCTGCTGTGCTTTGGAGCCTGGTGTCCCTGTTCTCCGTACTGGAGCAAGCAGCAGTCTCTGTGGTATTACCCATGGGGGTTACCATCTCCCAGAGGTGGAGACCACTCCAGGAATGCTTGGTAGGGCTGGGTGGGACAGTGCCACGAAGCAGCTGGGTGGACTGGGGCTGGCAGAACTCCTCCATCAGTCCCCTGTCGCAGTCCTGCTTTCCTCTAGGTGGTGCAGTTGGACTGCAAATGCCACCACAACGATGCTGCTCTTCCCTCCCCCCAGCAAGTTCCCTAAGATACCTTCCTCCCTTTCCAGCACATTTTCTAGATAATTGTGGCTGGAAAGCATAGGGAACCACTGCCACCCCATTTGCCAAAGGGTTGCAAGTGTCACAGAGAGGTGACACAGCTCTGGGGAGAAAAAGCCTTTGTGGGCTTGTGACTGATGCTTCAGGGTCCCATGGTGGCAGAGCTGAGGTGGCCTTGGGAGAGATCAAAGGTGGTGGCAAAGTGGAGGGCAGGCTGGGAAGGGGGAAATGCTGGTGGTACACAGGTCTGGGCAGTATGTGCCCCCCTCCTTGCTCAGCACAGGCATCCCCCAGCCCACCGAGACCCTTCTCAAAGTGGGGTCCACCCCAGGGGCTGGTCAAAGGGCTGAATCCCCAGCTAAGCTAGAGAGATACGAGGAGGACATGGGGTGGGACACCTGTAGCGGGCAACAACTCAAAGAGGCTGGACCCAGGTTTGGGTGGGCACCACCCTGCCCCTGGAGAGCCCCATGCATAATCAGCTTTGCCCCTTGCCTGTGCCACTGTCACCTGCAGAGGGGCTGTGGGGTGGTGGGGCCGAGCCTCCCCCTGAGCCCTGACGTGTCCCTGCCTGGCAGCACAAGCAGGAGGAGCTGGACGGGGAGGGCTGGGAGTACGCCTCGCTCTTCGGCTGGCGCTTCCACCTGAAGCATCGCCGGACAGACACCTTCCGCCGCCGCCGATGGAGGCGCAGGATGGAGCCCCTGGAGCGCACCGGGGCCGCTGCTGTCTTCGCCTTGGAGGGAGCCCTGGTAGGTACCTGTCTTTCCTCCCCCCAAAAATTGCTGCCTGGGAATGGGAGCCTGGTTGGGTCTGCTCCCACCCTTCTGTCTCACCCCAGGGGGTGGACATGGAGCTAAGCTCGTTATCTGATGCTTGTTATCTGCTGCCCGCACCCGCTGCCGCTTGTTTAGCTAATATTTTGGCTTTCTTCATACACTGGATTTCATAATCCTTTGGCTCTTCCAATAACTAAGTAAGAACCAACCACAGCAGCACAAAGCCCCTATTATAGGGCTTTTTTTTTTTTCCCCATTTGGCTTTTTTCCCCCCTCTTTCTTCGTTCTGTGCTCCCCTCTATCCAGCCTTTGAACCCAGCAGCCCCTTTGGGACACAAGCAGCTCCATGGCATTTGCATACATCAGTCCTGAGCTCACGCTGGCCCCATCTGTGAGGGTCCCCAGCTTCCGCCCACCCCCAGGGCTGCCGGTGGGATACTGGCTTCTCCCACTTCACCCTGGGGCTTGTTGATGTGCTTCTCAATCAGGCACTTCATCCCACTGCATCTTGGCAGAGGCATCGAGGAGGATTTATCTGGAAAACCCTATAACATAGGGGGTGTGTCCATGTACACGTGTGTGTGTGTGCCCGTGGGGCTGTGTGGGGACCCCCTGTGCCCTTTCTCTGGTTCTGGGGGGCTTGTGACATCTGATGGGGCTGCTTTGGGTCTCGGCTTGGTTGTGCAGTTTTCCAAGGGCTCAGTCGAGCCCTCGTTTTGCCTTCACTAGCCCGAAAATGAAATGGGTTTGTGAGTTTGGCTGCTGTGCTGGGGAACGGGGGGCTGACAGACCCATCTGCTGGGGGCATCGGGAGATGCGGATGAGATCCAGGGAGGAAACTCCCCTCCCATGTGTGTGGGGCAGAGGCTGAAGCGAAGGGGAAGAGGAGACAAAAGCCCCATTAAAATGGCGATGTGTCAATGTGTCTGGGAGCCACTTCTTGCTTTGCTCCTGGTGATACCGATGTAGTGGCAGGGGGTCCCTGGTTGATGTAAGTGTCCTGTGGTGTTACTGATGTCCTGCTGAACCCCAGCCTACCCCGGGCTGCTGGGGCTGCCCCTTCCAACCTTGTCTTGCTTTTGCCTCTCCCCGCTTCCCCAGCAAACACTGCCCTAAGTGTCAGTGGGTCAGGGTCCTGGGGGAGCACCAGGTCCCTTTGCTGCAGGACTGTGCTGCTCCTGGGAGTTGAACCATTACCTGGGCAGGGCAATGCTGCCCGTCAAGGAGTAGTATTTTCTTCAGGCGTGGAGATTTCGGGGATGCTGTCCCTGCAGGGTGACAGCTCGGGAGGGAGCAGCCCAGGAGAGCGGCAGGTGAATCCCTCCCCAGCCCTGGCTCCAGGTCTCGGCAGCCTGGTGGGTGCAGGACCAGCCCGCCTGCCCTTTGGGCTCCACTCGCCGAATTCCCCTCTACAGTAGGTCACTCTGGCTCGCCTCCGTGCCCTCATATTTTAGGGTTACTGGCTGCATTTTCTGTGGTTGCTTGGTTTTCTGTGGATTGCTTTATGAATGATCTTGCCATACTTTCTGGTTTTGCAGCTTCATGCCTTTCCAGCTCTCCCCTCTCACTTGAATGACTTGCGTATTTTTCCAGGATGCTCCATCCCAAAATAGTACCTAAATTTTCATAGCATCTCCCATCCAGTAACCCCAGACCCCCTCCGGACCTGCACAAGGTCGATCCCTCCATCCACTGGAGGCGCCAATGGGAGGAGGGACTTGGTGTGATGCTGCAGAGCTGGGGTCAGGGTGGTGGGCTGAAATGGTGCCGAGGATGGGAAAATACAAGTGGGTGCTGAGGGCTGGGAGGGGAGGGGTGGGCACTGATTTTCCACTATATCTATTTCCAATGCTTTTTTTTAACACAGGCAGAGGGAGGTAGCTTTTGAAGTCCCAGGTGTCAGGGAAGCAGTGTCTGATAAGAACCCCTGGATGGGGCAGCAGCTGGAGGATGGGCTGCTGTGATCACACTGAAACAGAATAAAGATGCAATTAGGAGTGGGAGCCTGGAGCATCCCCCATCTCAGATTTTACCCAGGCCTGGGGCCAGGGCTGCCACTGGCAAGCCACCAGCTGCCAGAGCCTCCTGAAGCCCCTCCTGTCTGCTCTGTCCTGTTCCTGTTATCTGCTCTCTACTCTGTGAAAGGCATTTGTGCAATTTTGTGGTTGTGCCACGGGTTTCCCTGAGCCCATCCAGCCAAGGAGCCGCACAGCGGTGCAGGGGAACTGAAGCCGAGGGAGGATTAAAATACAAACTCGGAAAGAACAAGCCAACACCCCAAGCGCTAATTCCCCCAGCTATTTGAAAGGATTGCTTTCCAACAGGAAGATAATACCAAACACGACCAGAAGGAATGTGTCTTGGATGCAGGAGTGTGTGCATGGTGCTCAGGGTTTCTGGGCCTCCCTCTTCCCGGGGATGCTCAGCGTCCATCGCTCCGACCTTACCAAACTGAGACACTGTTGCTGTTAGGACAGGCTGAACCCCAACATCTGGGGGTCAGGGTGACCTAGAGCTGGGAGCAGCTGGAAAGCCAAACCCCAGCAGGTTGTTCAGCTGCTGAGGCAGGGTTTGTAGGAGCTGGGGACTCCTTGGCGGAGGCTTTCCCCCAAAATCCCACTCTGACAGTGGTTCCCCTGTGGAGCTGAGCAGCTGCACCTCCAGGGCCGTGTGTGGGGCTCAGCATCTGTTCAGATGGACCCCATGGGGTGTGAGTGTCTGCTCCCATCCAGCCCAGCTCCCTGCAGTGGGAAGAGGCGGGGGGGCTGCAGGCACACACGTGCATCATTTCTCTTGTGCACGCTCGCTCTCCCCAAGCACGTGCTCACTCCTGCTTTTGCTCAGAGACTTTGGTTTCGCTGCTCACACATGCTCTATCCTTCCCCTGACCCCAAGCAATGGGGAGGGACTTTCCCCGATCCTCCATCCCATGGGGAGCAGCATGGGGGCCGGGCAGGATGGTGCTGCCCAAAGCCCTGCTGCAAGACCCAGCAACTGGGAACCCCATGGGGACCAGGTGAAGGAAGGAGATCATGGTGGTACTCCAGCCTGCATGGAGGCCACAAAGGGCAAAACATAGTTCTGAGGAAGAACGTCTTCCAACTTGCCCTCTCCAAGGTGTGCCTTCCATGGTGGTTTGGGGTGTGAGGAGTCCCCCTTTCCCTGTGATGGACAGACTGGGGGGTGTTCCCAGGACCCTGATGAGGGCTTCAGAGAGCAATCCCTGCCTATCTCAGCTCCTGGTCTCCTCCACTTGCCCTTCCCCAGGCTGTCAGAGGATGCAGGTCAGGGTGGGGGACTGGCGTTCTGCTGGGGAGAAAGGTCATAAAAATAACTGAGGAGCTATTCAGCTCCTGCGGGGAGGGGGGCAAGGAAGGGAAGGCAGCTCTTGCAAACCCTCCGCGTGACCTCACCACCGTAAATACAGCGCAAACCCCAGGGTTTCCTCTGCAGACAATGTCATGGTAATAGCGATTCCTGCCTAGAAAGGCAAGGGGGGCTCTCCAGACACCTAAGCTCCTGATGCATTTTTGGGTCTTGGCAGATCTGGGCTTTGGAAACTCCTGTCCCAGACCTGTAATCTGGGCTTTGGAAACTCCTGTCCCAGACCCGTTTTTTTTTTTTTCTTTTTCCTTTTTTCCTTCTCTCTTTTCCTTTATTCTTTAAACACCCCTCCTGTCTCTCCCTAGCATTTGATAATTGAAAAATATTTAAAGATCAGATTTACACTCTCCAGGAAGTTACCTTTAGGCTCCTTTTCCTGCAGCTAAATATTTCAAGCTGAACGTGGCAATTAGGAGGTGATAAAAGGCCGGGTTTCACAGACTGACACAAGAAGAGGGAAGGGTCGGCCGAGGCTCCCCCTGGGCAGCGACTGGGGCATTTGCCTGCATTTGCCACGTCTGTATCACTGTTTGCAAAGTTTATGCTCCATTAATTTTGCTCGCCAGGGGACTTAGTGAAATTGTTTTAACTACTAACTACTGCTCCAAGAATGACAAACTTTATGGAGAGGCTTTTCCATGCTGGTGAGACGCTGGGAGGTGGAATGTGAATTGGTGGCCCTTGGACTCCTTTTGTTGTTGTGTCCTGTTCCCTCCCAGAACAACATGGAACAAGAGATGGGTCCTCTCTGCCCTCCTGGGGCAGAAGAGCCTGAGAGTCCCTCCGTGGGGAGTCCCAAAGTCCTCCTGGACACCCCTGTGGATAATACCCTGGAGGACCCCATCCCAGGGGGAACCCCAGCTGCAGAGTGGGTCCTGGCATGACCGACCTTGCCTTGCTTTCTCTTGCAGGGGGGAGTGACAGATGACAAGAGTGATGATGGCAAATCCGTCTCCACCCTCAGTTTTGGTGTCAACAGACCCACCATTTCGTGCATATTTGACTGTAAGGCCCTGAGGGTTGGAAGGGAGGGTGACATTCCCCTGAAGTGAGTTCTGGCATGGGGTCTCTGCTGTGGGGACCCCGTAGCTGAACATTTCCCATCCTCTTCCTCTTGCTCACCTTGAGTGCAGGTGGATGGAAAGGGGTGGGGTGGGCAAGGATGGGGTATGTGTCCTCCTGGGGGTATCGATGTGCTCAGGGCTCGGTGCTCTCAAGGATTAAGCCAAGCTGTCCTCAGACACCAGCCTGGGGCTGACTAAAATTCGGCTATTTCCTTACATCCTCTGTACAGGTGGGAACAGATACCATCTCCGCTGCTACATGTACCAAGCTCGGGATCTAATCGCCATGGATAAGGACAGCTTTTCAGGTAAGCCCAGAAGCCCATGTCCATGTGTTTGTGCTTGTCATTAGTAATCACTCCCCAGCTGTAATGGATGCTGGGGAGTAGTGGGGTATGTAAAGCAATTTTTGGGGCATTTATTGGTGTGACATGGGGGTATTCAGCAGCCATACAACAAAAGACAGGGGCACGAGGCTTTCCTGAGGCAGCAGCCTGGTAGCTTGATTTCCCATCAGCGAAAAAAAATCAGAGTTTCAAGAACTCTTATGTGAGAAACCAACCAGAAACCACAAGTTACCCAGGTCAGCCGTGAGTCAGAGCTGTTTCCTTTGCTAATAGCTCCTTCTCCCAGACCTGAGGTGATGCTGAAAGCCGGTGGCAAGGCTGGGTAGAAGACGGCTGAGGGGCATGACAAATAAAACCGGAGGGGAGGGCAGGGATGTTTACCATGGCACACTGCCTCGAGCCATCCCCCCCGTGCAGTGTGCGAGCACTGGGATTTCAGGCAAGATGGAGGGCTCTGGGCTGGTGTTGAGATGATGGAGCACAGGACAGAAACCTCCATGAGATGTGCTCAGTAAAATTAAAAAGGGTGCAAGGATGTAATTAGGACCTCGGAGCAGACGGGCACCCTCTTCTGAGTCCTCATGAAGTTTCTGCTTGGATGTATGAGCCCTCAGCATCCAGCTTGCTCCCAGCTGGTTGAACCCTGGCCAGCCTCTCGCCTGCCCTTGCAGGGCAGGGGGTCAGCAGCCTCCTGGGTGTGGGGTTTATGGAGGGGATTTGTCCTGTGGTTTGGGGAAGGGATCAAGGCTGAAGACGGGAGACTCCGTTTATTAGGAATGAAAGAATTGATTGAAAATACGGTTGGAAAGGAAAATACCTAACAGTGGCAAATATGTAAAATGGTTCATATTTGTTTTCACGACTGAACATTAAATTGAGCTGCTGCTCCTCCACTCTCCATCCTGGAAACTTTGCAGGGGGGATGGGAGGCAATGACTGGGGGTATTCCTTGATGAACCTGATGCCTGAACCAGGCATACTTCAGACAGGACTGTAAAAAAAGCCCTTTCATGGAAAAAAAGCGTGGTCCCAGGTGGAGAAAAGGGTGTCCTGGGCTTTGAGTGAGGAGCTTTCCATGTCCTGCGGCTCAGCACATCCCCAGTACAGCTTCAGGCACTTCTGAAATTGCCAGGCTTGAGCTGATGGGGTTAGGATGTCCTGTCCTTGAGCTCATGTTTTCTGGGTTAGAAAATGAAGCTAGAATATATTGCTTTATCCTTTGGGCAGGTCTGTTATTGTTCGGTGCTGAAGGGTGCTTGGGTGTAGGTAGTTTGGCTTTAGGAGTGTTTCATTTGCAGCAGAGGCTGAAGCGTGGCCGTGGGGGTGTGTAGAAGGCATGCCAGGAATGGACCTTCATGTTTGACCTGAGGAAAGACCTCCCCCCCACCAGGTGGTGGGCCCCACATCCACTTCCCAATGGGGTGGGCCATCCCAGCCAGGTGGCCCTGAGCCTCTTCGGTGCTTGTGACCAAAGCTGCCTTTGCCCACACCCGTTAATGCTGTGCAGTGTCATTTTGAGGTGGGAAAGCAGGACAGTGGAGATGTCGCTGTTTGACTCGGAGCTGGAGCTGGGGCAATGCAAAAAATCTCCCATCAGTTCATCGTCCTGTGGCAGGGGCCATATCTGAGATGTGAGTAGGTCCCGGGGCAGGTATCCCTGGAGCACCCACATCCCTCTGCAGCAATGCCTGAAGGCAGCATCCAGCATCCCTCTAAAACTGTCACTGATTGTCTGCTGCGGGGATTTGCAGTGTTGGCACAGAGGTGAAGGATCTCAGATGGGATACAGAGGCAGCCCCCAGAAACGGTGTGGCCTGGGGACCCGCAGCAAGGAACAACCTGCAGGGACAGCTGGGCATCACCATGGCAGGCAGCAGGACCACAGTCCCAAGGGTCTCCTGCTTCCCGGAGTGTTTTGAAGCAGAGGGGCTTGAAGGGGTGGACAGAAATGCCCTGGAGATGTGCAGAGCACCCAAACAATCACCCAGTGTCTGCGCCCACCGAGGTCCTGTCTCCCCTCTGCCTCCACAAAGGGTTTGTTGTTCAAAGTGGTGGGGACCGAGGTGATCTCATGGCCCCGATCGGCGGAGCGGGGAGGGGAGTCCCTTCCTTCGGAAAAACCCAGCCAAGGACAACATGAGTAACAACATGCCACAATGTGGAATTGTGATCTCCGCTGCCTTAACAAAGCATAAAGGAGTTCATTAAGGGGGCTTTACACAGTTATAAAAATAAACCTTCTGTGCACACGAGGGTCTAAACAAAGGGGCTTTATGGAGGCCTCCTTTAAAAAGAAGAAGAGGGGGGGGAAAAAAAAAAAGAGCAAAAAAGCAAATCCAAATCCATGGTTTTTTTGTTTATTGTAACGCATTCTGCTTTCCTCTTACTGGAAAAAAGCGCGTAAGTGGAAAAGGTTCTTCCCAGCGTGAATAGTGCTCTCTCCAGCCGGCCACCTCACAAACAGCCCCGGCTCATTAAACACGTCTGCCGCGGTCCGGACGCCAAGAAAGAAAATACAACCCCCTTTACCCACCCCCAGCCCTGGAAGAGGGGAAGGAGGGTGGGGGATGACACCCTGCTCAGACAACCCCCCACGTTCAGGTGCCTGGGGGTTGCTCCTCCATCTCCAGGGTAGGCAGGACATCTTTTGCTCCCAGCATACGCTCATAGTCTCTTGACATTGCTGGTGTTGGTGTGTGCACACTGTTTTGCAGGGACCCCTCCTGGGACTGTGGGGGTTTGTGCAGTGCCAAGCACTAAAGGCTGCTGCCAGTAGGTGTCCTGGGACTGGCTTTGGGGTGCCCTGGGTGGTACCCTACTGCATGCTGGTGGATCCCCATACGCTATCTGGTGCATCTGTGTCATTCTGGGTGCCAGGTGGATGAGGTGGCCTGTGTTCTTCCAAAAAGGCCCATGATGTCTCCTGCCACTGTGGAGGTTGGGCTTTGCAGGTAACCAGAGCTCAGGGTTCCACCTGGAACCAATCAGGTAGGATGCGGCAATCACAGAGGTCTCCTCCCTGGATGAGTAGGTGCTATCAGGTTACGAAGGGTGTTCAGTCTCCACAGGACCTTATAATGTGATCCCATGGCACGTTTTGAGCCTCTCACCCAGCCCTTGATCCTGGTTCCATCATTGCCCACCCTGTCTCCATGTCCAGTGCCACTGTGGGCTGGATATCCACAGCAGGTTTGGGCCACATGCTCTTTGAAGCTGTCTGGAAGGGAAGGTGTTAGAGAGGGTTCAGGTTTCACATTTCTGTTGTTAACTGATCTCAGGCTTCCTGTGTTAATTGCTTTGGTTGTTAAGGGAGGCTACTCCTCACTATTTGGTGCTGCCTTGCAGTGAGAAGCCTCTGGCTTTGTCCCAAGTTAAGGGTGAGACACCTTGCTCCCAGCTCAATGCCTTTGTACAGGGGTCTGATGAGACCCTGGAGTACCTGAGACATCTGCATGGGGCTGGCAGATGTAATGCAGCTAAGATAGACTGAGAGCCACCTGGTATGACAGCTGGAGGCCAGGTGGGATAATCTGGAGTGCTGGGAACCCGAAATCTTCCTCAAGACATGGAGGTTACTAAAACTCATGCAAAAGGGCTGAGAGCATGATTCTGGCAGGTTGCTGGCTGCATCCTCAGCTCCTGTCCCTTCTGGAGATATTAAAGGCCCCAGGAAGGAGACAGTAACATTGGAGTCACTTTCTTCATGGTCTGGTCTTCAGAGCAGAGGGTGAACTGAAGGCACTGCTTACCCACATGTGCAGTGCTGGTACATCCTGCATCTCCCTGGAAAAGACTTGTTTGCATCATGGAAACAGTTTGTGGTCTCTGCTGTGCTGGAAGATGGCTGTGTTATCACCATCGAAACACTCCTCCCTGCAGAGTCATCTTTTGGAAGAAATCCCCACACCTTAGGGCAATTGGTGAACCATTTGTGCTACCTTGCTGCTGGTGGACAGGGTGAGGAGTCATGAGGATTACCTGGACCGGGATAGATCAGGTCAGACAGCGATGAAATTTCTAATGCTACAGCAGTGGAGTGCTGGGAGATGTGGCCAGGGAAGGTCACAGTGACTCCACCAGCTGGAGTTATCACAAGCCAGAGGATACAGGAAAGATGGAGAGGTACTCTTTAGCAGGGAGTGTAGTGATAGGACGAGGAGTAATGGTTTTAAACTGAAAAAGGGTAGACATAGATTAGATATTAGGAAGAAATTATTTACTCTGAGAGTGGTGAGAAACTGGAACTGGTTGTCCAAGAAAGCTGTGGATGCCCCATTCCCTGGAAATGTTCAAGACCAGGCTGGATGGGGCTTTGAGCAACCTGGTCTAGTGGGAGGTGTCGCTGTTCGTGGCAGGGGGATTGGAACTAGATGATCTTTAAGGTCCCTTCCAACCCAAACCATTGATTCTATAAGTTCGCTCTGGTTAACATGGTCTCATTAGATTAGATACGCAAAAGGTTTTTGCAAAAAAATCCTTCATCAAAGATTTTTAAGGAAAGGAGGCTGCTGTGGGATAAGAAGGAAGGTCTTTGTGTGGATATACAGCTAAATTGTGTGGACCGTTTATGGTTGCCTTGTCTTTTTGGGACAAGACTGGCCTTTTGTGAGGAAAAGCTCCATAAGCTGAGACTCTTCAGCTTGAAAAAGACATGGTTCTGGGTTGGCATGATAGAAACCGGCAAAACCCCAAGTGTCAGTGCAGGTGTGCAGGGGAGGAATCCTCCTTCTCTGCTAATTGAAGAACTGGGGAGCCTCAGATGGAGGTAGAGGGAGCTGGGTGCTGAAAAAAATCATGAGAGGATGGCTCTTCATGCAGTTTTGAGTTGTCACTGGAGGATGTTGTGGGTTCAAGAGAGACAGGGCAAGTCTGTGGAAGACAACTCCTTTGCAGGGTTGCTAAACATGCAGACATCCCATCTAGTTTGGGAAGTACCTGAGCTGTGGATAACCGGTGTGTAGAGATAAGTGCCGGAGACTTCGGCCTCATTCTCTTCTCAGTTAGAGTTGCCTGGGACACGATGGGAATGCTATTGCTGTTTCTAAAAGATCTGCAGTTCCTTCAACCTGTTCACAGTCTTCCCTACCCAGCCTGTTGGCCCTTGAATGACTATGAATTGCTTTCTCCTTCCTAGACTGGTAGCTCTAATTCATCCTTTGCCTCTTATCTAACATCCCTTGCAGATCCTTATGCCATTGTCTCCTTCCTCCACCAAAGCCAGAAGACGGTGGTGATCAAGAACACTTTGAACCCCACCTGGGACCAGACACTTATCTTCTATGAGATAGAGATCTTTGGGGACCCCCAGAATGTGTCTGACTCCCCTCCCAACATTGTGGTGGAAATATATGACCACGACACCTACGTAAGTGTGTTTGCATGATCTGGACCTTCATGGTGTGAGTGTGCTGGAGTGGCTGGGACAAACACATGGCACTGTTCCTGCCCTCTGGAGTGCAATGCTTTAACATCTCTGGGTGGCTCAGACATTGAGCTGGACACTCAGAAGACAAACATTCAGCAAACAGCTCTGCTACTGATTTCCTTGGTGGCCCTGGTCTAGTTACCAAAGCTGCATCTACACTGTATTTTGCAGAGTGGCCGAATTAACCATATTTCCTCATGGAAAAAGCTTGGTACATGATTTAAAGTGGTCATACAAGTAGGGAACCATACACTGTTGTTTGCTCAGCTGCCTGAAGGTATCCAAAGTAGTGATGGCATTTGTGGGGCTGGTGAGATAACCTTGAGTCCTCCCTAGAAAAACTGGGCTGTAGCCTGTCACAAGAGCAGATTGCGTGTAAGAGCAGTGCTTAAGGGAAAAGCACTTAGAACACATTTCAGGAATGTCTCAGGAACCCTTTTGCTCTCCCTCCTCCGAAGGAAGTAGCAAAGGCAACTGAAGATCCCATTGCAGACCAGTGAATGGGCTTTTTAAGAGCTGCTGATACTTAATGCTATACTCAGAGGTCCTGCTCTGGAAATTGTGCGATACCATAGGAATTTCATCTTCTGTTTAAGCCAAAATGTGTAAGAAAGAGTACATTTGTAGCCCTAGCAGTTATGGGGAGGAGTTTGTGTCTGCATGGATGTCAAACCCATCTTTTTTCTGAACTGGTCCCTTAATGGTTCAGACATTGAGCCTGATTTTTGAGTGACAGGGTCTTGGCTGAGATGTGGGTGTGTGGAGATGGACTCTGCTGGGAAGCAGAGTGGGAAGAAAGCTCCCCATGCCTGTGGTTGCCTTTCAGGGTGCGGATGAGTTCATGGGGCGCTGCATTTGCAAGCCCAGCCTGGTGCGCTCGCCACGGCTCTCCTGGCACCCCATCATCAAGGCCAACAGAAACGTGGGGGAGCTGCTGGCTGCCTTCGAGCTGATTCAGAGGGAGAAGGTGAGCTCCTCACCCCCAACCTTATCCCATCTCTAATTGGAATGCTAGCTTCTTCCCTTGGAGCCTTTCCACACCCAGCAGGATGCAGCCTTCTCTCGGCACCGAGCTATGTCCACCTGGGCTCAGCAGCTCTGCAGCTGCCTGTCCTCGGGTTCACCAGGACGGGTGCTGGGAGTAGACCCAGCCGTGATGCTCAGCGCTGGCTGCACCGCAGGGGTGTGATGGGAGGCGTTTAGCGGAGCCCAGGGGAAGAGGCTCGGTGCTGGACCGAAGCCCGGGCTGCCGGGTACCTGTTCGGGAGGTGCTGCTTGTGTCCTGCCAGCCCGGTTGGCTGCGGTGCTGAGCTCAGAGCCTCGGCACCTTCACACCGCGGGAAGAGCCTGGTGGGTTTGGCCCCAGATCACTGGCCTTTGCTCAGAGTTAATTTCCGGAGGGGATTTATGAGGGCTGAAGTGGGCGGTTACTCCCCCAGCGCTCAGTGCTGGCCTTTTCATGTAACGAGCCACAGGGGAAGGAGGTTGTGCTTTGGAGCCAGTCCAGGCGGGAGAGACTCCTCGTCATGCCCCAGTGTGCTCTCGTGTGCTTTCCCACCCTCCCTGTCCCCTGCTCATACCACCCTCTGGCCTCTCTCTCTCTGGCTTTCCCACTGGCTGTGGCGCCTGGCTGCATCCCAGATGTGCCTCTGCACCAGGGAAAGTGGATCAACTGGAAGGCTAAATCTCTCTGTCCTGTTTCTCCCTCCCAGCCTCGAGGTGCTAATTGGGAACAAGGGTCCTTGCAGCTCCCTCCTCCCTCTCTCCGATGTAGGTCCCAGCTCTGCTCCTGGAGGGATGCTGCGCTCCGAGCACGATGGTGCTGCAGCTGCCAGGGGTGGATGTGCTGGGTACAAACCTTGCTGCACCAGTGGGGGGCTGCTGGGTGGCAGTCAGGGGATGTCTCCGCTGCCAGATTGGGCACCAAATCATCTGCATGCAGCCTCTTCTTCCTCCTCACCCTCCTCGGGAGTTACTCAGCTGGGTGGGAAAGACCTTGGAAAGGAAGGTCCTCTCCAAGGATTTTATTTGATCCTAGCAAAAAGCAGCTGGGTGGATGTGAGGCTCTGCTCCTGCCTCCTTGTCAGAGGGAGAGCCCTGCCCTTATGTCCAAGCTTTTTGGAGCCCAGCACTGGGCATGAAGGGGGACAGTGTGTGGCTATGGGAGGACTGATGTTTCTCTGATGGATAAAGCTGAGTTAGCACCAGGAGTGCAAATAGAAAGTGTGTGTTTTTTCTCCACAGCCGGCTGTCCATCACATCCCTGGCTTTGAGGTAATGCCTTTCTTCTGTTTGCAGCTCCTAGACTCTATTGTCCTCAAACTGTCCCCTCCCCTGCCCCTACCAACCTGCTGGGATCCAGCACCGTCAGCTGCTCCTGCAGAGGTTTTCAGTGGACTCTGCAGCCCTGCTTCTGCAGGAAATTTGTCCATCCTGTCTTAGGAAGAAGGAATCACCATGTAGAGATGGCGGTTTCCTTCAGCTGCTGGCAAAGAGAGCTGAAGTGGGGCAGCTCATTTTGACTCCTAGATCAGGACAAATGTACCCCATTCTGGATATAATTCCTCAGGTGTCAAACACACCATTACCTTCCTGCCCTGCGATAATTTCAGCATTCTCGTTGTGAAAGGTTGGGCTTCCCAACAGCTCCAGTGAATTTTGTACCCTGCAACCCTTCTGAGCAAAGGCATTAACTGATGCTGGATTTTAAATGATTTTGTTACCTGCACTGATTTCTTCACTGGGGGATGGTGGTGTGTAGGAACTTGGAAATCATCCTTTTTCTATTCGGTTATCAGCTACAATTATAAGCCCTAGGATGGACTTATGAATGAGAATTGCTCTAACTCTGTCCTTTCCTTCTCTTCTCCAGAATGAGCTATCCTCCAGCCTGGATGAGGTGAGTCTGTAAGATTTAGTTGTCTCTTCATCTTGGAGATTGTTAAAATTGTGCCTCCACAGGGCAGCCACTTCTTTTCAGATGAGTCAAGTCAATAGCATCAAGATTTTAGTAACGTAAGTGATCACCAGCAGGACAGGGTAGATGGGTTCCATGCTTAACCCACAAAGTGTTCCCAATGGCAGGGCATGTCAGGTAATATATAACGTTTGTAGGATGTATGTGCATGAGGTCTGCTGGTGTTCAGTCCTTCCAAACAAAGCCTGTAAAAGCTAAAAAGCTGGGCTGACCATTGGCTGGACCTTAGCTGAAATCCCAGTTGAAAAGTTTGCAACTTTTCATGGGGAATTTGCCATGAACTGGGACATGCGCTGGACTGTTCCAGTTGCCGTTAATGAAATAGTCTCCTCAGGATCCCCAGCTGCTTCTTGGGCAACCTGTCAAAGTTGCTACCCAGACCTTGTGCATCCTACAGAGCAGATCACCAGCTGAACCAAGTGCTACCAGGGTAGGCTGGTATCTTGTAAAACCCAAGGCAGGGAGATGAACAAGGGGCATGTGTATTTGAATGTTGTGGTAGCCCTAGGAGTCAGTTAATCCCAAAGTCTGAGAGATGAGCTAGGAGAGACCTGAGGCATGCAAGGAGCTTGGCCACATTTCCACAAAAGGTTGAATGGGATAAACACATTTTTGCAAGATGGGTTTCTTCCACCCAAGCAGCTTTTACTCATGGTGTGGTGTTCATCTTTGTGCTCCATGTGGGCTGAGATGGATGAACTCATGTAAACATAACCATCTCTCTGCTCTTTCTCCTCCATTTCTTGTCACTGTCATTTCTGGATGGGGCACTCCACAGCTCTGCACCCCTGCATTGTTCTACGAGGGGCTCCTCCAATGGGTACTTTTTATGCTCAAACACTTGACTCTCCCGTGTTCCTCTGCTTTTGCCTAGAAACCAAGCAAAGTCCCAACACAGATTCTCAAAAAGACCAGCTCCGTCAGACGTGGCCTGGCCTGACCCACCAGCCCTGCAGGAACCCCATCCAGACCAGCCCACTGAGGCTGCATTCAAGAGTGATGCCAGCCTGGGGTCTCCAGTGCCCTTAGCAGTAAATAACAAGCCTTGTAGAGAATCAGATCATATATGCATCATTCAGGCTCTTGATTTATCTGAACAACCAGGCTGGCACCAGACTTTCTCCTACTGCATTTCTCTTTGGTGCAAATGGGAGTATCCTTTGGCACAGGGATTTAAGCCCCCCTTGAAACAGCATGGCCCAGCTGTGCGCTCAAACTGGGAGATGTTTCCACTGTTTTAGCTGGTCTGATCTGTGTTGACTTTCACTCATGACTCTTCCAACCCTGTATCAAAGGCAGGATTGGACTAGATGATCTCCAGAGCTCCCTTCCACCCTTATTCCCTCTGACTTGTCTCATTGAAACCACCCCAACTGCCAGCAGACCCCACAGGCCATTTCATGGATGTCTCCATCCAGCCATCTGTGTCTGGGTTGAGAGCCGTGTCTGGGAATTGCTTGTTCACCACTATCACCCTGAACCCTTTCTGCTCTTGCCTCATCCCCAGGACTCACTACTCATTTCTGTCCCATCTGGTGAAACTTTTAATGCTCGTTCATTCAGCGGAAACCCAGGAGAACAACTGCAAAGCAACCAGGAGAGCAGCAAGGATTGAGAAGGACTTAGAAATGGCTATTGCTAGCTGAAGACATTGCAGTGTTAGGAGCCAAGCATGCACTGTTGACTTTCAAAGCTGCTGTTAAACCTGGGGAGGATGAGGGACAGGAAGGAGCTCTTTCCCCAAGGCTTTCCCCTTTTGCCGTACACATTTGCCAGAAATTACAATAAGGAGATGCAACAGATGGTATTTGCATCAGCAAAGATTTAGGTGTTTTCTTAGGGAAAAACCTTTCTTTTTTGGGAAGAGACTGGGCAGCCATCTCTCAGGGGCTGTGTGGAGTTTGAGCCTACCTTGGGTTTTGGAGATGGGCTAGGTGGCTTCTCCAGCTCTGCATCTCTATTATGCAACTTAAATGCAATTTAGGCACATTTAAAGCTGGAAATGAACATATGTCACTATACAAGGTCAGACTGAAGGTCTTCTTGGTTCAGTCCGTGCTTAGGCACCTTGATGTGCTCTAAGCACTGTGGGTCACAAACAAAAGCTGGGGATAGCTCCTCAGGGGCCAGTCAGTCTATTCCTTTACCCTAAGGAAGGAACAGCTCATGTTGATGATGCAATGTCTGAGGTAAGTAGGTGAGTTACCAGAAGTGCTGAACACCCCAGTGATGCTGGGGATGGTCTGCACCTCTCCCTTCTCATTAGGCACTCACCTCCCAGATAACCTTCCCTTTCCCTGCTAGCACTAACCATTTCTGCAAGCATATGAACCGTGGGAGGGAGGACTGCCTGCCCCCTATTTACCGTCTGCCCCATATGGGAGCCCAGACATCTGCCCCAAAATGGAGTTACTGAAAGTCTTCAGCTAACAAGCAGCTTGATTCAGCAGCCACCAGGAATTGCCAATGAAAATTAAAGCTGAGCGTCTAGTATATCTAACATGCCACTGTGAAAAAATTCCTTTGTATAGCATTTATATACATACATATATAAACCTGAACCAATCCTATAATTGAAATACATATGCACACTTAATTTAATGCAATAATACTCCAGCCTGAAAAGAATGCCAGTCTCCTAAATTGATTCCAACTGCCCTTGGTTGACGGTTGCTTTTTTAGAGGCTTTGCTTTCATTCCTGCCTTCTTAGTGACTCTGAACTCAGAGATGCAGGTCAAGAAGAACCTGAATGCTGGGAGGGCTTGGAGCTCGTCCTCTGTGAGTGGCTGGGGAAGTCTGGCTCCCTGCTTTCCTCCCCTGTGAAGGCACATTTTGAATCCCCCAGTTGCCATCCAGATCTGGTCTCACCCTGAAGGAAACCTCCTTCTGTATGCATGGTGCATAGACAGCTGTATCTGAGCTCTGTGGCCTGAAGCTTGGCAGCTGCCAGATGAGGTTTATAGCTGAGCTGTTGTATGCCATGAATGAACAACCACCCCTTCCTGCACTGGGAGGCGATGCCAACCCCCACTCCCATGGTGCTGCCCCCACTAAACTGTCTGCTGCTCTTTGACATCTCATTCTGTCCAACTCAAGGAGCTCTATTTCACTAATTAACCCCTTGCTGCTGCTTTGTCTCCTCATCCCCCTGCTTAACTATCTCACTGAGGTCCTGGCATGGGATAGATGCTCTTTCATCCTCTCCTCCCCTTAAGGAGGTTGAACCTTGATGGAGAGCAGATCTCTCAGTTCCCTTGGAAAGGCTCTGGGATCGCTCTCAGTAGTAGATGTTTGATCTTTTCCAGATTAAAGGGAGAGAAACAGTTTGCGAGCACATTCATCCCCCCCAGCCCTCATCTCCTCCTGTCTAGGTGTCCTAGACTTCTGGGAGAAGATGAGTTTTGCAGAGAGAAGGAGATGCTGGGGGGATGCAGTGTTGGGAGGGGGAGGTGATGGGGTTGATGTCCACTGTGGCATGACCTGATGTGCCCGGGGCGCCTCTGTTCCCCACAGTCTGCAGACTCTGACTTGCCGTATCCACCACCTCAGCGGGAGCCCAACATTTACATGGTCCCCCAAGGAATCAAACCGGTCCTGCAGCGCACGGCCATCGAGGTGAGTAACGGGGAGAGCACGAGGCAGCTCGCCCCCTCGCAGAATAACACTCCAAACATGTGTCCCTAAAGGGGAGGATGAGACCCAGAAATGGGATCCAGGCCAGACTCTGTGGACACAGAGTCCCACCAGTGCTGGGAGCTGGTTCTGTTCATGGGTTGTCTGTCAAAAAATGTTATCTTGCTGAGACAACAGGTCTCACCGAGCAGTCAAGTTCTACGTAAAAGCACAGCCCTGGACTGCACTCAATTTTAGAAGGACAGTCTGCTTCACCCCAAGATAGTATTTGCCCAAAACAGAGATGCTGCATTAATAGATAAGAAATTGTGTACCTGGTGTATTGGTGCATACAGAGAAGCACTTACTGTATGACCTGGCTTCTCCCAGCGCTGCCTGTCCTAAATGGTCAATTCATCTATCCTTCGTGGAGGGGCCACCCCTCAGGTTTACCTCCACTGCTGAGAAGCTCAGTGAGAGACCCAGAGGCAGGTCCTTTGGCTCAGTCTGCTGTCTGTTCCCTTCACCCTTCAGATCCTGGCCTGGGGGCTGAGGAACCTCAAGAGCTACCAGCTGGCCAGCGTCACCTCGCCCAGCCTCCTGGTGGAGTGCGGAGGCCAGCTCGTGCAGTCCTGTGTCATCAAGAACGTCAAGAAGAATCCCAACTTTGATGTCTGTGTGCTCTTCATGGAAGTGGTGAGGACCTGGTCCCCACCCTGTAGTGATGGGGTCATAGCAGAGCTGGTTGGGAAGGACCTCTGGAGGTCCCATAAAAAATGAATCCTATGGGGAATATAATTCTGTCCTGCTCATCCTTGGTTCCCTTTGGGGAGGTGCAGAGCAACTACTCTCCCTGCTCTGTGTAGTTATGTGTTCCCTCCCCTCTGCCCACAGCGTTTACCTAAGGAGAGCCTGTACAGTCCCCCCATCATTGTCAAAATCATTGACAACAGGCCATTTGGCCGAAGGCCTGTGGTGGGGCAGTGCACCATCCGCTCACTGGAGAACTTCTACTGTGACCCGTACCGAGAGGAGTCGGACAGTCCCCAGGAGCATGCAGGTACGTGCTGCCATGATGACCGTGCCAGCTTCACAGATATGCCCCTCTCCAGGAGGAGCTGTGGGTCGCTGTATGTGTTGCTTTTAGCTCAGCCCTGCTGTAGGTCTGACACAAAAATCCCAGGAGGTGCTGAGAAGCAGTTTAACTCTGGGGTTGCTTGGTGAGATGGGCTGTCCCTTGGCCAAGCTGTTCAGCCCTCATGAATGTGAGCTTTGGCTGGCGTAAAGGCTCTGGGCAAGGCTGAGATTGCTCCTGGAGCTTGATCCCAAGGCGTCTTGGCTTTGGGGTTTCTAACAACTGGATGTCCTTGTCATGCTCGTGCTTGCTCTGATTGCAGATGATGTAAGCCTCACGCCCAGGGACGATGTCCTAATTGACATTGATGACAAAGAGCCTCTTATTCCTGTCCAGGTATGGAAAAAGCTGCTATGGTGGGAATACACTGGTATCTTACTTTGTGTGCTATGGGGAAACTTGTGCAGGTACAGGGCTGGGGTGGAGATTGATGCAGACCTCTGTTGTGAGGTCGTGTCTGGTTGTAACCTTCCTTTTGCAGCTTCCACCTCTGTTTTCACGCCCTCTCCTCCACCATGCCATAGTGAACAACTACAAACTCATTCGCTTCTCCCCCACGTTTAATATGAGGCGTCAGATTTGCTTTTCTGGGGTAGAGACAACAGATTCTCCAGGCTCTTCCCTCCAGCATCAATTCTGCAAACATATGGTTTGCTTTGAGGCTGACAGAGGTTTTCACTCACCCCCTTAGGGCTCTGCTGTGTGGGATGCTCTTTTGGAAATGACAATCACTGCCCCAAAGAGCTGACAGCCTTGAGGGGACTTACCCAGCACTGGAGAGGGTGAACCAGTGCTGGCAGATGGGGCAATTTGCCAAAGGCCACGCTGGAAAGGTTTCCTGAGATTCAGTCATCCTTACCGCAACCACACGGCCAGGTCTCCTTTCCCCCGTTTTGACCTTTGTTAGCAGGATGCTTTGCTGCTTCCAAACCCACTGGCTGCTTTCAGCAGCTCCAGTGACTCTGCAGAGGGTCACAGTGGGGGCTGTGACTGCAGAATATCTCATGGTGGTGGGAACTGGACATGCTTTAGCAGGGAAGAGGGAATATGTTGCTGCTTTTGCAGAAGGCAAGTTTCTCTGTGCCATGAGGTTGAAGGGTCTCAGCTGTCCCTTGTAGATGGACCAGGCTGGGCATGCCAGTGGGGCTGTTGTTCCTCCTTCCTGAAGCACAGCTGGGATTTGGCTGGCCACACTGGTGGCTCTGGCCCTGCTGTTAGTTTGCATTTCTGTAGCCCTAGGCTTTCTTTGCCAGCAGATACCTCCTTTTTGAGGCACAGACCTGTCAGTGCTGATGTGTGTGTGATGCACAGATCTGTAGGTGACCCTGATTGCTCAGGAGCTGCTGAAAGTGTTGTCAGAGGCGTTTGGTGGAGCTTTTCATGGTCTCCTATTCCCTTTGGTGTATTTAATGTGCCCTGGCATTTCCTTCTTCCCTGTTTTAGCAGCTGTGGGTGCTGCATGGTACCTCGGGCTAGAAAAGCCTGAGCTTTCTGCAAGAAATCTGCCTCTCAGGTATGCCTCTTGCCTTGTCTTTCACTGCCCATAAAAGCAAGATGTGTAATTTGGGCATCAATGCTTCTGCTCTTTATTTATCTCCTTGGTAGCACTTCAGTGTCTCTCTTCCTGAGGACCGTATGATCCACCACTATCAGATATCTGCAGTCGTGTCCCAGAGTGGGCTCAGACTGGGGTCTCAGCATCAGGCTGACCCTGGAGATACAGAGCTGGAACTGTACCTCTCTGCTTGCTGCATCCCTTGTGCTAGGTTGTCTGCTTTAGCTTTGTGCCATGCAAGTCCTCCCTGTGGATGAGCAGGCATTGCTTAAGCAGGGGTGTGCATTGCATTCTCCAACCTCTGCCCAGATCAACGCTTTCAGGCTTTGGGCTAAGGAAAAAATCAAGATTTTGGCCAGTGCTCAGCAAACTCTGTGGGTGTGGTGCTCCAGCCTGTTGCGGTCTCGACTGCAGCTGGCCCTGCTCGTCCCTACCTATCCCAAGCACTGATGAGATCCAGGTTGGTGCTCTTAGGCAAGGTCATCCCACAGTACTTGCAGTGAGGCATATCAAATAAGCTGGCTTTTCAGGTTCCCCACCAGCCAAGAGGTGGGACTTTCATATGCTCAGCTCCCTGGGATGCTGGCGTCTTGTCCTGAGATGCTTCAGTATCAATTAGAAACTGGACACTGGATTTGGAAAACATTGGCCCAAGTGAACAAGTGTTGTTAAAAAGGGAAAAGCAACTCAAGACAGAAAATACTACTGACAACCTAATTGAATTTCTGTTTGCTTGCCATTTGCGGATTTGTCTTAATAATTTACAATTGTGCTTCATCTTGTATCAGTAAAGTAACTGGAGCATGTCTGCAAAAACCACACCAAAATGAGTCTTGGAACAGGCAACTTCACTTCTGCAAATAAAAAAGCTCCCTTTTTGAGCCTAGCACAGAAAGCACTTGGGAGAAAAGTGAGGGTGTCAGGGAATGATGTGGGAAGGAGGGTTGGGTGCAGGCCCTGACTTTACCTCTGATTAGCTGTCTGACGCTGGGCAAGTGGTTTCCCTTTGCTGCACCAAGGAAGCTGATGGCACCCAGCACCTCTGCCAAGGGGTGAGACCCTCTGCAGAGACAGCTGTGGGTGGGATGGATCCCCAGGAAGGGGACAAAACACCCGAGGATGGGTTTGCTGCTTCTGCAGCGGTGGGCACAGACCTACTCCATTCTGATGAGACCCCACATGGAGTACTGCATCCAATTCTGGAGTCTCCAGCACAAGAAAGACATGGATCTGTTAGAGAGGATCAAGAGGAGGCCACAAAAATGATGAGAGGGATGGAGCACCTCTCTTATGAGGAAAAGCTGAGACAGTTGGGGTTGTTTAGCTTGGAGAAGAGAACGCTCTGAGGAGACCTTATTGTGGCCTTTCAGTACTTAAAGGGGGCTTATAAGAAAGATGGGGCAGGCTTTTTAGCAGGGTCTGTAGCAATAGGACAAAGGGTAATTGTTTTAAACTAAAAGAGGGTAGATTCAGGCTGGATATAAGGAAGAAATTTTTTTCTGATGAGGGTGGTGAAACACTGGAACAAGTTACCCAGAGAGGTGGTAGATGTCCCATCCCTGGAAACATTCAAAGTCAGGTTGGACTGGGGTCTGAGCAACCTGATGTAGTTGAAGATGTCCCTGCTCATTGCAGGGGGGTTGGATGAGATGACCAGATGGATTGATTTAAAAGTTCCTTCCAACCCAAACCATTCTATGATTCTGTGATTCTATTTTGAGGGCTGGGAGCGTGTATAAAGGACAGGAAGGTGCTCCCTGGTAGTAAACACCAGGTAGAGTTTGCTTTAGCCCCAGGTTAAGACCCCCAACAGAAGGTTTTTCTGCCCCCCTCCTGATGCACAGCCACAGATGGAGCAGCAATGGGTGGACTGGATTTGCATCTGCAACTCCAGGAAGCTGTGAAGGTATAATTTCTTATTTTTTAATAGAAAAATCTACCCAGCTTTCAGCTTGGTTTGACTAAATTTTTTGGGGGCGCATTTTGAAATCCGCAGTTTAGACTCTCCTCCTTCCTTCTTCTTCTGGTAAATTTTCAGTAAAAATTGTATTGTCTAGCAGAATAACAAACTGCAGCACTCTCCTTGTGCCATACTGTCTTCAAGAGCATCAGATCAACCATCTCCACACCTGTCCTCTGCTACCTTTTACTGACAGCAAAACCATTTGTTAAAGGCAACTGACTACAAAACGTTTCCTTTCCTCTGACCTTCATCTGCCAGCACCGTTTCCCTGCCCTGATTTTTCTGTGCCTTTTCCAGGGTCACTCCAGACCTGCAGTCGTTTCTGCTCTTTCTCCTGTGACTTTGGTGGAAGTAACAAGAGAGAAATGCAATTCCCTTTGGGAAACCAGGGTTTTAACCCAAATTTGTTTTCTCCCAGGGAGCCAGCACAGCTGGGGCTCGGGCTGGCTGCCACAATGTGGGACGAGGCAAGCACTTTCGGCCCAGTCACTAATTAGCCTTTTATTCTGTTTAATGGAAATTCCCCTGCTTTGTTTTGCCAGTGGTTTATGAACCCGGTGGCTGCTTTCTTGAGGGAGGTGAGGGGAGGAAAATTTCCTCCCATAAATATCCTTTATGAGAGCCACAGGCGAAGGCTCTGCTGGGTGCAGAGAGGAGGCTGCGGCCACCACGGGACTGCTGTGGGGCTCGATGTGAAGCCGAGGTCCTCTATGAACTGGTGTTGAAGGTACCTGGCCAAGATTGCGCTGGACCTTCATGCTCTGTGGGGCTTGTAGGACTTCCAGTTGGCACCATTTCCTCTGCCTTTGCTTTACGGACAGGATGGATGGGGGGGACACTGTGGTGTCCTCACTCTGTGGTGCAGGTTTGGGGGACTCCCTGCCTCCAGGAGATACCTCTGCCTGGCTCTGCTGCATCCACTGTTGCTTGAAATGTCCTGATCAGATCGCCACGGCTTTTTAATGAAAAGGCATCTTTTCTACAGATTTTTCTATTCTTTGGGCACTTTCTAGCTGTGAAAAATCAAGAATGTTTTTTGTGTTAATTTTGCAGCACTTCATTTGCTTTCAGTGCCTCCCCCCGAGACCCATTCACCGTTTCCCTGTTTTCCCCAGTTTTCGTTGCACCTGGAGGTGAGGGCAAGGCAAGAAAGAGAAACCCAGGACTCACACTCTTCTTACATTTGCACTCCAAAAATGGCAGAATTTCAAATTTCTTTTGGCTTCCACCTTTTTTATTGCAGTTAGTTTGGAATTAAAAAAAAAAAGAAAAATTGCCCTTCAAAGCTTTTTTTTTTTTTCCATCTTTTAACCAGCATTAACTGTGAACATGCCTGTTGGTGGCATGAAGTGTGCAAGCCAGAGATTGTAGGTGCTGTGTAGACACATGTGCACTGAATAAACCAAGATATAGATGTCTGGATTGACTTTTATCAAGCCACCGTGTTTGGGATACAGCTAGCAGCAAGCACTGGGCATGGCCTTGGAAGTGCAAATCTATCCCAGTGGCTGCTGTGGGGAGTTGTCCTGTGGGTTCCCCATGATGGATCATCCCATTTACACCTGCATTTGAGGAACCTGAGGTGCAAACCTCCATCACTGCAGAGGTGGTGCTTTGGTCCCATACATCGCTGGGGGACCTCGTGGAGATGCTGACTCAGAGGTGAAGGCAGCTGAGCAAGGTATTTTGGGGTAGTTTGGGAGGCAGAGAAGGATCATGGTGTACAGGGACCCCTTGCACGTGCAGCTCAGCACCATGCTAGGTGTTGCTCGTATCTGCAGAGCAGTCAAAGGTGGCAGAAGGTGAGAGGAGAGGGGCAGCCTGCTTCTCCTCCAAGCCCATCCTGAAACCTGCTCCTCATTAGGCTAATTTGGAGTGAGGCCAGAGGCTCTGTTATTGTGTGTACGCAGTGCCCTGGCACAGTGGGGCTATTTAAATTGCAAACAAGAATTAATCCCCTCCTCAGATGTGGTGGTGCATCGTGGGGAAACCATTGCTCTGTGAGCCGTACCCCATCACTGCAGGCGCTAGGGGCCAAGGGGACCCATTTCAGGAGGCCAAGGGGACCTCCATTTCATTGCGCTCACTCAGGGCTGGGCTGGTGGGTTCCCCGTGAACAGGTTGTGATGGAAGGAAGAGAAGTAGCAGTCCCTGACCCTCCTCCAGCTCTTGTCCTTTCCAAAGCTTTGCTCTGGATGCTCTCGTCCAAACACGCTTTCTGCTCTTTGCCAGTTTTTGCAGTCAGTGCAATATTTGAGCACTCCCACAGAAGCTGTAGGTACTTCTGGTGGCATGCCAGATCCAGTTCATCTATCTTCTTTTAAATTCTAGCCTGCCATTCATGGCTCTGAGGAAATTTGTGTGCTTTCTGTACAAATTCACAGATAAATGCTCTTTTCCTGACTCTGAAGTTCTTCCCTGAGACCTTGGGGTGCTCCTTATCTCGATGGAGACCCATACACCACGGAGGCATACACAGATCAGTGCTTCATCCTTGATGCAGCTGACTCTCCATCCACTACTTGCTTTGAAAATTTGGGCCACCATCATGTCTGCAGCAGGTTGGGATCTAGCACAGGGACCTGGTGTGCCCCCAGCAGTAGGGATGCTACTCTGCTAGAGCTAGAGCTCTGCAACACTGAGGTGGCTCTTGTCTGGCAGGAGGAAATGAGATTTCCTACCAACCTAGAAGCAAAAGAGGCATTTTTGGCAGGTGACAAACAGAAAATCATGGCAGTCAGATCCTCAGCATTTTTCTGCCATTGTTTGCTTCTCAGTGGAGGTGAGGACCTGTCACGACCCTGGAGATACTGCAGATTGAGGAGAGCGTTTACTAGGTTTGGGGCTGCAGATGAGGGAAGATGCTTCTTCCTGCAGTGTCGGTCCCTCTCTTTGTGCTGTTGGAGCCATGGGCACAGAGCATCCCAATCTGAGTCCCAGTGGGGAGGAAGCTGTGGTCCTGGTTAGTGTTGTGGTGGAGAAGTTCATGACCACTGATCCCCTTGGAGATCCCCAAGGCTTTGGCCCATGGGCTGGCTGTTCCCTTCCTCAGTGTTGCCTGCAAGTGATCCTGGCTACCTTTTGCTTTTTGATACTTGCTTCCTGAGGCATCTTTTGGCTGGGATGTGCAAAAGTAAATCTGTCTCTAAGAAAACCCAGTCCACCTCTCCATTCCTGTGGGCAGACCTCATCATTAGGGGGCTCAGGCTTGGTCCAACAACTAGTAAAACTTCCAGAAGGGCATTTATTGCCAGTGGGTACTGAGGAGAGAGGTAAGTGACCTTCTGGCCTCTAAGGATGCCTGTGAGGAAGAGGAAGGCTGCGGCAACAAGCGAGGGATGTGCAGGTAAAGGAGGGAGACTTCTGGCCTCACTGAAACAAGGTCCATCAGCCTTAGGTTGCAAAGTGAAGTGAGGTGAGCTCTTGCTCATATTTGACTTTCCTTTAACCAAAATAAATGACACCATGTATTGCATTATGTAATTTGTATTTTTTAAATGTCCAGCAAAGGTCAGAAAAATATTTCCTTTGCAATGTCCCCAGACCCTGAAGGCAGGGCCTTCTTCCCCAAAAATAGTCATGGGCAACAGAATTAATGAGCCGGGTTTCCTGCGGTGCTCCCAAGGCTGCTGGTATGGGTGGAGCAGCTCAGCCTTTCCCTCTGGAGAAACATTGAGGTTGATGGGGTTCTGCAGGGCTGTGGCGCTCCCAGACCTTGCAGGGAGTTCATCATGATGTTAGGAAACCTGCTCAAATCGGCATTTCGGGGATGAAAGCTATGGATGGGGCCACACACACTTTTGTATGGGTGTACACAGCATTTGCTGCCTGGGGGCTGCTCCCCAGCAGTGGTGGAGCAGCACAGGGGCTGCAGAGGTTCCTGCAGCTTCCCGAGGCCATGCTGGAGGAAGGAGTGAGACAGAGGTTTGCAGCTGGAGGGACCCCAGCTCTGCAACAAATACTTTGTTCCCTGGGGCAGTTTGAAGCCTATTGAAAGCATCTGCAAACTCGGACCAAACTTAGGGAACAGTTTAAATGAGAGGTGAAAGGATGGGAGGGGGAGAGGGATGTTGCAAAGGCAAAACACTCTGCTCTAGTGCTTTCAGTGTGGAAGACTTTGACATTTCTTTACTGAAACAAACATTTCGCAAATGAAACACCCCACAATGAATTGAATTATTCAGTTTGACCTCAGATTAATTCCTTTCTGTCTGTTTGTTTGTCTTTCACTTTTGCCCTTTGTTTGGAGAATGGAGGAGGAGGGTGCGTATTCCTGGAAAGCCAAACCAAAATTCCCACCATCTCCCTCCCTGACCTCTGAATTTTGGCCCTGGCTGCAGTTCCTCCTATGCCCACCCTCTTCTGGTGTTGGACATGGGTTGGGGTGACTTTTCCTTAGGTGGTCTGACATGCTGCAGCCATCAGGGTCCCTCCACCCTGCTCTGCTCCCCTCCAGGGCGAGGTTTGGAGAGTGAAGGAGGAGTTCCAGTCTGCAGAGGCCATCCTACCCCTTCTCTCTGGAAAAGGTGGTGAATCCCAAGCCAGAAGCCTATGCCTGGGGCCACAGTCTCTGTACCATTTGCTCTTCCAGTGGTGACCTTGGAAGCAGGAGCCAGGATTGTTCCTGCCCATGCATGTGTTTCATTGTGTGGCTCCGAAGTCTTTCTCCCTCCTTGCCAAGCCTGGCTTTGGTCCCTCCTCTGATGGATGACTGGAACAAAGGATCACTTTGTTGTCCTCTTCTGAAATAGAGAAAACAAACAGATGCAGAACTCCTCTGCTCTGAGGCTGCTGAGTGTGTAGTCCATCTCATCCAAATGGGGTGAGAAGTTCAGCCTGAGGTCTGTTTAAAACAAGTCTGTGTGCACATCAACTGCAAACATCATGGTTACCAAATGCGAAGAAAAGAAGCTCCTAAAACTCATAGAAAAGCAATTATTCTGTAGCAAGGTCTCCTGGGCTAAGCCTTTCTATGTAGCTTCTCTGGGAGATGCACATGGAGTAGGGTTTTGCAAGGGCTGAGCGTGCACAAGTGGCTGTGGGATTTCTTGGGTCAGCCAGGTGTGGATCTGCCCATATTCCTGCCTGCTCCACACCCTCTGCTCTGCAACCATCACCCTTGTTTTCCATGTTCTTTCCCGTGTCCTCAACTCCATGAGAAGCAAGGACAACCATGAGGTCCCTCTGCAGCCCCAAGGGATGAGCAGATATTTGTTTCTTCTGATAGAATACTCATGGAGGAGCTGTTTCCCACTAATCTCTGATAGTTCCATGGGGTCTCCCTCAGGCTGGAGAGCAAGGGGACCACTGTTGGGCTTGGCCTGATGCTCAAACCCAGCTATTTTCTGGTGAAAACATCTCATTTCTCCCTCTTCTCTATCTCAAAGGAAACACACCTTGCAAGACAGAAGCAGGGCTGGTGCTTGTTGCCCAGCGCAGGGGTAGATGATGGCAGCTCTTGGTTTGCCAAGGACAAGCAGCACTCATACTTTGCATTTTCTTTGTACCAGACCTTGGTCCTGAGCTCTCCTAATTCCTTTATGTTAAAAACACCCTGGGTCAGTTTCTTCTCTGTCTCCTGTGATGAACTTGGCTTGCTGTGTTTGCAAGCCCTCAGTGTCCACAGGAGGAGATGCTGTCCTGTGCTGAGAACTATTAACAGCTTTTCTGTAACGTGGTTTTTTTTGCTGTAGTTTCCCTTTAATATGCCATTTAATCTCTGCAACCATTCAAACCCAGTCCCCTTTGATGGACATCAATGAAAACCCAAACCCCGCTCTTGTGCCAAGGATGCCTTGTCCAGGGAGACCTAACCTTACAGCCCAGGGGAGGGGGAAGACGGCACTGTTTGGGTTCATTCATTTTATTTCTCCTAAATTGTGCTTTTGCTGATGTATGTTAAACATTGTTTCTCTAACCCCATTGATAACCAATCATTTTAATTTGTAGCTTGCGGACGGTATGACCACCTCAGCATTAATTAACATACCAGCTTCTTGGGCCCAGCCTCATGTATGTATTGCTTAATTTCTAACTTACTTGCTCGATTAATGGTTTTTATGAATTATATATATGCATATATGTATTTTTAAAGATCTGAAAAGTTTGAGGCATTTCTTTGTGTGAAAGATCCCCTTGCTGTCCTAGAAAAATGGAAATTTCATCATGCTACATGCGTGTGTGCATTTCAGCACTTGTGTTCCTTCATGGCAAAGAAAACGAGGTCAGTTTTGGGAGGAGGGATAACGATGCTTCTTCACTCTTGTCCTTGTGGAGCCCAGCAGAATTAGGTACATGTTCGAGGTTAGATGTTTTCCCAACAGCTTCTGGCTTCTTTGTGCATGCCATCAGAGCCTGGTAGCTCAATGGAGATGGTGTGTCCCGGATGGCTGATTTGATGGGACTTCTGTGCTCGTTCGTGTCTTAGCTCAGGGACTGTGACAAGTCCTAGGCATCATGTTGCTGTAAGTTGAAATAAGAAGGTGTTTGCCTTCCACAAGGAGGAGGGTTTGACCCCAAGGAAGGTTTTGTCTCATCAGCAGGGCTTTGCACAGTCTGGTTCTTGCAGGTATATTGCCTGGTGGCCTCAAAGTGTGGGAATTGGGGAGATGCCAGGCAGCATCTAAGCAGTCACAGGTCCCTCCTTGCATAGTGTCTCCCTCTCTCATCATGCATTTTTAATGAGAAAATCAGATGCTTGGTATGTTCCAGGGTTTGTAAGATGGGCAATGAAGCTGCTTTGCTTTCTAGGGCTGACACTCCAGAGGAGCAGTTCTTCTCCATGCCCCAAATTTACCCTTAGCAGTGTTGTGCTCTTCACCTCTTAGATCCCTCTTGATACTGGCCCATGAGTTACAGGACACGGGCTGTTCCTGCCAAGAGCAGTGCACGTTCCTCCCATGTGTTTCAGGCCAGAATTAGTTGTGTTGCTTTCCACTTCTTTGCTGCAATAAACAGTGACTCCTTCCCACTGGCCAAGCCCAGAACAGTGCCCACACGCTTCAGCCCTGGGGTGTAAAATGCTGGTGAGTCAGCCCAGACCTTTGGAAGAAGGTCAGCTCGGAGGTGTTATTTATACTGTGTCTTTGGGAGGAAAAGTCTCCCTTTGAGGTCTGATCATGAGGGATGGAAAGAAAGTTAAAGCAGGCTTTCACTTGCTGAAAATAGAGTAAAAATCGAGCAAGCAGAGCACACGGAGTAAGAAATCATTTGCAGCCTGATGGCAGCTGTACTTTAGCATACAGAAGCCCCTGATGGGCGTCTTTGTAGGTTGTGGCATAGGGTTAGAGGCATGTTTAACATCCAGCTTGTCTCTCTGTAATATATAGATATGTGCTTTGTTGGCCCTACGTGCATCTCTTCAGTGCCTTGTTTATCCTTTGCACCCACAAAACATTGTTCACTTGATGCAACTTCCTTCATCTCACAGGGAAGACAGATGGGTGGCTGTGTTGAGATGCAAAGTATGGAAACAAAAGCTTCGTAAATACCCTCCTCCCTCCCTCTGTTCATCAGCATCTTTAATTTATGTGAATATGTTTTTGGTTTAGTTCAAAAAAAAGAAAAAAGCTGCAAACCATTAATTTAAAATAAAAGCAACAGAATATTAGGCAGTAATAAAGCCATTCTACTGGCCTTCACCAGGACCTTACAAGAATGTGATTAAATATAATAAACCTCACACCGCTGAGAGCTGCTGACGCCTCCTGGGGGAAACCATCCTGTTTTGGAAAGCGTGCCACCGAAACGGCCTGTGCATGTCTTCCTTCCTTGCTCCTTCTATATAGCTGGGGAACTTCGCACGAAAGCAGGAGCTGTGGAATGAGGCATAGGGGCTGCAGCTGGTTAAATATTAGGAAAAAAGCTTTTACAGCCAAAAAATCCAGCCTGGTGAGGAGCGCGTGAGGGAGCTCCTGAACTCGCCAGGTTCGGCCTCCGACCGTGGTGTTAATGACCAGGAGGAGGGGGAGTGTGATGGGACATTGTGGGCTTGGTCCTCATGGAAAGCTGAGCTTGCAGCTCAGTCTGCCCATCTCTTTGGTGGGGTCCACAAGAGTTACTTTTTCCCTTCATCTCGATCATACAGGTTATCTGCCTCGCCAGCAATGTAGCCTCACTGTCCTGAGAAAACCTTGAAAAACCCCAGACCCAGAAAAAGCTCTGGAAAATGGGGGCTCAGAGAGCTACCATTGCTGCTCCCTGTGGCAGCAATCCCCTGCACCTGCCTGAGGGGTAAAGGCTGGGGAGAAGTGATAGTGTGGTGGGGACATCAGGTCAGGGCTGCCAGAGCTTCAGGCTCTGCCTGGAGCCTGCACAAATCCAAGCACTTAATCTACAATTTTTTATAATCAAGTTCATAAACCCTTTCTAATCCAGCCTCTCTTCGTGCTCTTCTGGTGCAGCTGTTGCCAAAGACCTCCTAGAAAAACTTCAAGACTCATCCCTTCGTCCCTCTCCTGTCTCTCTTGAGAATCTTTGGCATAAGCAAAACAAGACAACTTTGCAACACTGATGTCTTGTAGACCCAACTCTCTGCTCCAGATCTGTCCCCTTCCCTCAGCATTGAAATCCTGGCTCATCCCTCTGGAGTTTCAGGGATTCAATCATGTTCAAAGAGTGAAAGAGAAACTCATGACTTCCTAAAATATCAAAATAAGCTCTTTCATGAGCCATTTCTCCCCCCCTGCCTGGGAGGAGAACTCTGTAATTATCCACAAGATCCTGTCTTTGTTGTCCTATAAATCTCCTTTTCCAACTGTCAAACCATCCCAAGAAATCAGGCCAGAGCAGCTCCTGTCCCTACCTGGGCTTGGCCCGTGTCCCCTTGAAGCTCTCTGAGGATAGATGTGCCATTTCCCTCTATGCCTCTGCCACGATGCCCAGCACAGCTGACCTGAGAGTGTTCAGGATGAGATCCTGGTGACCTAATTTCCCTTAACTTGGGAAACCACAGGGGACAGCAGATCAGAAAAGAGCCCATAGACATCGTCAGCAGAAGGTGCAATACACCTTTTGCCAAGCCTGGATTTAGTCAGCTGAACCATGACTAAAGCTCCGGTATGTGTAGTATAGATGCTGCCACAACAGCTGGTCACACTGGGATCTCTACGAACAAAGGATTGTAAAACTCTCTATGCCTTTGGCCTGATTTTGATGTCTGCTTTAAGAGCGGTATTTAAATGGAAACTGTTTGGGATGGTTTCCCATTCTTCTCCTTTTCTAGAGCACAGCACAACAGCAGCCGAATCGTGAGTGGGGTCCCTGTGTGCCCGGGCAGTACTGCTAATAAATAAGAGTGTTATTGATTGTTAAGGGCAATAGGAAAATACAGAAATGCTTCTGAAGAGTCACTTTAAAAATGTCAACAGGTGCAACTAGGAATTGCCAGAAAGTAAAGAGTAAGCATGGTATATTTGAGGAGGATAAGTTGCATATTGCAAAAAACCTGTTGGCCACCAAGGGGCTTTGAGGACCCTAATCCCCTTTGGCAGGATGCCCTTGCCCATGTCTCCTCCAACCTGCTCAGGGTCAAAGAGACAGAGAGCCTCCTTATCCTGAGAAGTACAAATGATCTTTCAAGCCCCCTTGAGTGAAAACATGGAGTTAGTGTGAAAGCCCCAATGTGGGTGTCAGGCAGTGGGAGTGGAGTGAACCAGGTTTGCAGGAGAGCTGTGGAGAACCCTTTACAAGGGACCTCCCATATGGTTAATGCCCATGCAACTCCTCCATTCCCAGCTGTGATACGATCTGGCAAGTTCTCCTCTCCACCAGCCTTAGCTTGTTGGAGCAGTAGCAGGAGTCAGGTGATTCATAAGCATCTCCCAGAGGAGAGGAGCTCACGAGGAGCCCTCAGATACCTCTGAGAAACTGCAATGAAACCACAATGAGGAACCTCCATTCTTCCCTGAGAAGCACTATAAGGTGCTTTCTATGTAGTTGTCCATTCCATACCATTATTTTGGCTTGTGATGCTTTGGTTGTAAGAAATACAAATAACCCATCAAACGACAAGTTAGCAAAGCTAACCCAAGCCAAAAAAGAAAAAAAAAAAAAAGGTAAAAATCTGTAAACTATTTGGAATAATTGGTTATTTGCTGTGTTTGCTAGTTCCAAATCAGAGCACATATTTTACGGCTTATCCTGTTACTGTTAGTTGGAAGAGCTCTTGGTGTTGGATATCTCCTGCTGAAAACAGTCACCAACCCGCTCTGCAGCCCAGCGTTGCCCCCCGGCACATTTCTGCCAGCATTTTTTCTGCTGCTGTTTGGTGTATCCTCGGGGGATGGCCCGTGACACTGCCACAGGCTACGGGTGAAAGCCCTTCCAGACCAATCTGCATGGCAAGCTGGCTTTCCACCAGCTGGGGCTGCAGGGGAAAGCAGCCCCAAATATAAACCATGGGATAAAGAAAAAATGATGGCAAGATGGTGTGTGGGAGGCTGCCTTAGGGTGGACATACTTAAATGTAGGCTGATTGGACAGGATGGAAAAAAGCACCACGGAAAACTAACAGTATGTTGAAAAAAAAAATAATAGTTGAAAGAGCCAGAAATGGGCAATTTATCTTTATGAACATCTGACAGTTCGTACCTTGAGGTTTAATGGAAGAATAAGCCAAGACCTCTTGCAGCCTCCCTGTGTCAATGCATGTGGTTTTCTCCTACTCCCTTCAGTGCTGCTTTCTGCTCGGTGCTGCTCGGAGCTACTGCAGGTCCCTGGGATAGATTGGAGGAACCAGGAGAAAGGATCAAGTTATAACCTGAAGACAGGTCCCTCTTGGGGAAGAAGTTGGAGTTCAAGGACATTGGGGAGGTTGTTAGCATGAAAAAAAGGCTTCATCCAGCTCCCAAGATCTGGCAGGTGCAAGGTCTCAAGCCCAGTTTGTGACATCTACACCCCAGGGCATGGCCTCCTAGCAGGACAAAAATATTTTTTTCCTCTCAGGAACTTTTGCAAGTGCTTCTGGTCTGCATTTGGAGGTGATGGTCTGCATTTGGAGGTGATGCCTGCTGGGCAGCAGGGGCTGACATTTCTCCCCAGTGTGGGGCTAGCTGGCACCTTGCTTGGGTGGTGGGCGGTGGGTGGGCTTTGCTGCAGCCGTTTTGTTGCAGAACCACCCTGAGGATGCCTCCCACAGCAGCGAGCCGCTCGGTTTCCTGCCTGGGTGTGCTGACCTCTGGAGCAATGCTAGACAGAGCAGCAGAGGGATTTAGGATGTGGTTGGAAAACCCCAAGGAGCGCAGCTGCGGTGTTTAAAGACATTTTTGTGTTCCCCAGCTGTTTGCCATGGCCTCTCTGCTGGAGTTTTCTGCACCCGCAGGAGGACAGGGCTGGGCTGGGTTAGTTTAGTTGGGGAATGAACTGGGCTGACCAGGCTGCCTTTGTGCTGGAGCAGATGAGGATGCTAACACCACCCTCTCCAAGACCGAGGTGCAGCGTGTCATCTCCTGCAAAAGTGTGGTAACAAACAGCTGGGGAGCTGTGTCTATAAATGTCCGAGCTGTTTCTGGAGGGATCTTCTCATCCCAGCTGCAGAGCTTTCCCATAGCAGGAAATCTGCCTCCCAGATGTGAGGTGCGAGTACATTTGAGACTGAGGCGGTGGCTTAGCTTCTTTAGAGACAAAATTTATTATTGCTATAGTTATCTATACTCCCACAGGGAAGACTGTGTAATCACTACGAGAGCAAGCATAAGTATTAAGACTTCCATTGTCTTATGCATGTTCTGCTCTCTGGGCTTTGCTGTCTGGACATTAACCTGCCTGTGCCTCAGTTTCCCCCACCTGTAAGGTGATGATAAGGTCTAAAGTTTCACCAGAAGCTAACATGTCCATTGTGTGGCAACTTCTTAGATTTCTACACCTCCCTTTGGTCCAGACTGAAATGACCATTTCAACATATTTTGTGAAAACTGGTTGTGCTGGACAAGCCCATGCTCCTGTTATTCCCGTCTGGGAATGCATCCAATAGGATGGGCTGGGAGTCATAGGAAACCCTGGGTGGTGGGGAAAAAAATTGCTCTGGCTCAGCCTCCCTGACAAAAATGAGGTTAAAACCAGTGCCCCCTTCCCTGCCCCCAGGTGAAACAAAATGAGATTGAAAACATCTCAAGAGCTGCCAGGATGACACAGGTCTGCATGTTGAGGTCCAGGGGAGGGAAGAATTTCAATACCCTCAACAGCAATGTGCATAGCCCTGGGTAAAAGTCCTACATGGAGATCAGGCACAGCTTAAACCTCCTTCTCTATTATCTGAAGGTGGTAAGTAAATGGTGGCTGCTGGCTCTGCTGAACTGAAGGCCTGATCCAGAATGCCCTTAAGGCTGTGTCTGAAGAGCCTCATCGACTTCAGAGGGATTTGCACACTCGATTGAAGTTAAGCATGTGTCTGAGTGCTTTTGCTGTGTCCAAGCCATAATCCCAGAAATGTTTCAAGTGGGAAGTTGCAGCCTGCTGGTGAAATTCTGATTTTAAAGGCATTTTAAAAAACCCCTGAATTTCTTTATTTTTGGAAACATCATGCTTTTGGCCATAAGACATTCCTTTCTTCTGGGATGTCCCCTGCAAGGGGGGCGGGGGTCTCCTGCTGCCCCATCTCCTGCTGGATGCTCACAGAGCTGCTTGAAAACTGATGAAATGGTCCCATTCAGCATCTTGCCTGGTGAAATGGTTCTGGACCCTCTGCTGCTCCTGTGGTAAACGTTGGCCTTCCCATTTTAGCAAAAAGTGTCAAAGCTGGGCACCCTGGAGCTTGAAAAGCCTTGACTTTATCTCAGTACTGAATGGGAAAGTGTTTGCAGTTCTGACTCCAGTCCCAGGGCATTTGGGTGCAGGTGCCAGCCCTCCTCATGGTGCTCCCTGCTCTATGGAAGGGGTGGTTGTGAGGGAAGAGGGAGTGAAGGGGTGTGGGGAGAGAGTAAACCTTCTGATAACCATGAAAGTAGCTTGCCACGTCTGAGTAAGCTTCTCTCCAAGCCAAAATTTTAGGCTTCAGTCACTTGATGTAAAATTTTTCCACAAGTGATATTCACTCATGTGTGTGTGCCCCACTGCATCCCTGAGGGGTCCATGCAAAAGTTGGAGAGGGCTTGCAGGATGCTTGAGGTCCCTCAGCCACCCGTGCCAGGGCTCAGGGCACAGACTCCCATTCTGAGGACCATCCTGTAGCATGTCCAAGGTAAAACACTGGAGGTGATTTTGGCTGTGGCCTGGTTACTAAATGAAATTCCCCGAATTCAGTCACTCGTGCGGTGGAACCATTGCTTTCCCTGGCTTTCCCATTTGCAGGCAAATGGATTAATGTCCTTCGCTATTAACATTCCAGCTGCTCCCCTTGCCTCCTTATTTTTTTTTTCCTTCCCCCCTTTTTTTTGTACCATCAGTAGAAACCAGCAAAAATATCTAACCAAATTCTTTGTCTTGGGGCTGCAGAAGATACCATGGGTAAGTCGTCAGATTAGTTTAAGTGCTTTCTTTGTAACTCAGTACCTGTGGAATGTCGTAATAAAGCCATGATGGTCAGAGTGTAGCTTTTTAAACAATAAAACAGGGGAAGCGATGAAAGGCTTTTTTTTTTTTTTCAAAATAAGGGAGGCAGCAGAGGCCTCAGAGTTAATTTATGTAATATTTCTATTAAAAACAATGTCTATTCAAGACAGCAATTTAAAGCCTGCACCGTTGGCTTAAAATATAAATCCAATAAACCTCTATTATGATTCCTCCATTAGGTCAGTGTGATGGAATTTTGTGGACTTCTAAAATAAGACATCATTATTTTTCAGGAATGTTTCATGAATCACAGTCAAAGCCCCTTCATCTTTGCTTGTATAAATTTCAAAAATGGTGCTCTTATAAAATACATACATTTGCTGAAGCCGGCAGCCGGCTTTCTTCTTGGAACAGCATCCTCAGAGCAGAAATCCAGTTTGCATAACAGATGAGGCAAATGTTCCTTAATGGCGTTGTGGCTGAGAGATGAGGCTGAGGTTATATGAGATTTGCCTATTTCTTTGTATAATATCAATGAGAAGAGAGTTACGTTATTCCTGAGAGAGGTGCAGCACCTGGGGACCATTGCTTTAGTGGAAGTATATGCATTTTATGCATTGATTTGTTTGTTCATGTGTTTTGTTTGGATGGGAAGGTTGAGTGGTGGTTGGGGGACAAACTAGAAAGACAATCCCTGTCCCAGAAACCTCAAAACATTCCAGTCAAAGCCCAAACCAGGAACTGAGTTTAAGAGGAGTCCTCACATTCTCCCTGAATTTCAGGCTGCCAGGACCATGTTAGCACAAGAATTCAGGAATCTATCCCCTGTGTGGTTCTACACTGGGAAGACCACCACCAAAACTGTGTGGCTAGTGCACAGGGCAGAAGTTCACCTCCAGCAATGATGGGAGATGCTGCTGTTGTTGATTACTGGGGTTTGCTTGTTGAGATATTTTACTTTGGTATCCCTTGCTGCAGGAGGAAGAATTCATTGACTGGTGGAGCAAATTCTATGCTTCCACAGGAGAGAGGGAAAAATGTGGCTGCTATTTAGAGAAGGGCTTTGACACGCTGAAGGTAAGTGGCCTTGGCTGGTTTTGGTTCATTGGACCTGCACTCTCCATGATGTTTTTCCACAAGCTGTGATTTTTTTTTTAATTTTTAGGTTTTTTATTTCTTTCAGGGAAAAAACAAAAAAGACTGTTTTCCCCAGAGTGCAGGTACTTTTGTTTTAAAAAGTAACTGCTTTGAAAACTCAATTTTCCTTGCAAAATCTTTTCTGGTAGCTTTCCACTTCGCAGCCTTCAAAAAACTGTCACATTTCTAAGTGGCAAAGGAGATGGGGAACTCCCACCCTGGAAGACATTTGGGAACAACAAGGAGAACAAGGGAACGTCTTCCCTTAGGAAGGGGAGATTTAGAAGGCCTATTACAAGAAGGGCTAAAATTAACACAGAGGCCAAAATAGGACTAAAGTGGGGGAAACCTTGTCTCATCTTAAGGAAAATATTCCCAGCAGGAAGGTCTCTGGCTGATGAAAAACCCTCTGTGAGACCTTGGCTTAGTCTGGGTCTTCTGCAATGTGCTGTTATTTATTGGGTTGCCAAAAGTCTGTTCTTCATCCACTGTCCTGGGGAGAAACAAGGGTGACAGGTCCCAGGACTCTGTCCCAGTGGGTGGTATTTGCTCTAGACCAAGGAGCTTGTCCCACACTGGTGGGGACAGACTGCCAGTCCCTCTCTGTCTGGACTCAGTCCCTGCCCACACCCCCCATCTCTCTCTCCCCAGGTCTACGAGACAGAGCTGGAGAATGTGGAGGATTTCGAGCATCTCTCTGACTTCTGCCACACCTTCAAGCTGTATCGTGGCCGGTTGCAGGACTCAAATGATGACCCCTCCGTTGTTGGCGAGTTCAAGGTGTGATGGTCTTTCTTTCTACCTGTATCCATACCCGACAATGCACGCTGCTAGGTGGAAGATCTTGCTGCTGAGTGGGATGATGCCAATTGACTATTTTTGGATAGGACTTCAGTGAGAAATGGGCCATAAGAGTAGGTCACTTGGTTCAGTTTGAACAACCTGCCTGTGCAGACCTGGCTGCTGGATTCCCAGCAGCAAGTGCATTGCGTGCTTCAAACCCACTCTAGGCTGTGCTGTCATCTTGGAGCAAAACCCATCTGAAACTGATGCTGGATGTAAGCAACGGAGTATCTTCTTCCTCCAGGACAGTGGTGGGTGCATGTGTGAGCACTGATGGTCTCACCATGCTGATGCTCAGAGCTCTCCCTTTGGAGGTGTCTGTCCAGTGCAGAGCAGCAATGCATCCTTTACTCATTTTAACCTTTAGCATATTTGCAAGAGACAATGGATTAAATTCTTCTAGCTTCTTTTTTTTTTTTTTTTTTAAAATTCCTGCTCTTACCCAGCACTCTTCTCCCCCAGACAATAGCCAGAGACTAAATCCTGCCACTTCACTGGGAGGAAATCATCTCTGCTGAATAAAACACTTGTAAATTTTTGCATTTTCTCTCTCCTCCTCTCACCTTTCTCTCAGGAACTAGTTGCCTTGTTCAAGAACCCTTAAAACTGCCCCTGCAGAGAAGGTCTCAGCCTTCAGGGAGCTGCTTCATAGCAAGGCTCCTTTATATGTCATTAATAGCATGAAGGCTGAAAGGGCAGGGAAGTAGGAGAGGTAAAGGATGAACAGGCTGGAGTTGCTCTGTGCAGACTTTTAACAGAATTTGCATCGACATTCAGCCAAGAGATGAATGATACAGGCAGCTTGCCACCTTGCTCCTGGCTCCCTCAATCATGAAGAGCCTGACAGGACATGGGCTGGTCTAGGAGACAGAAGACAGTCAGGATCTGGGCTCTGTCCCCAGCATTGTAATATTCATAGATACCCTATCCCTGGGAACACTTAAGGTCAGGTTGGATAGGGCTCTGAGCAACCTCATGTAGTTGAAGATGGCCCAGCTCATTGCAAGAACATTGGACTAGATGACCTTTAAGTGTCCCTTCCAACCCAAACCATTCTATGATTCTGTGATTCTATGCAACCATCTGGACTTTTGTTGCAAGCCTGCTCACACGAGAGCCATCTGCACGTGTGGGTGTGCAAGTGCAGCTGAACACATCTGTCCTTCACAGGGTTCGTTCAAAATTTACCCTCTCCCAGATGACCCACGAGTCCCAGTGCCACCTCGGCAGTTCCACCAGCTACCGGCCAGAGGACCCCAGGAGTGTCTCGTCAGGGTCTACATCATCCGGGCCTTTGGTCTCCAGCCCAAGGACGCCAATGGAAAGGTATTCTGCTGGGGAAAGTTGTGGTCAACCTCAATGTTGCCTCACGGCGTGGGCTTTTTAAACAGGTCAGACCTAATTGATCAAAATTTGTACATATGGCTTAAAATTTAGAAACAGTGGTGACAGCAAAAAAGGAGAAAATCTACCCCTTCTTTCTGGCTCCATTGCAACATCTGGGAATCCCAGGAGCCAACTCTTCCTCCATCCTGAGGGATTTTTCAGTAGGGCGAGTTAAAATAGCAAAATTTGTTTGTTTGTTTGTTTGTTTACCTTTGTGCCAAAGGAAACAAAATCATGTATTTCACATGACTGCTTTTTGCAAAGCTTTGCCAGTCTGGAAGAAAAATTCAGTGTAAAAAGAAAATTGTGTTGGTTCAAAGAGTAAATGTTCATTTTGTTTCACTTTGCAAAAAACTCAAGGAAAAACATCCTTCATAACTCTTGTTGTTCCATTGGAAAACAGATAAAAAGTTAAAAAAAAAAAACAAGTATGGGAAATATTTCGACATGAACAAAAAACCTCTGCTTTTTCATCTGCCCAGTTTTTGAAAATGGACTTGGAATTAAATTTTTCAATTTCTTAGAAATCTCTCATAAGACATTCCTGCAGATCAAAAAGGAGTAGAAAAAAAATACAGTTTTTTTACACCGAAAACCGAAACTAATCCAAGTTTCACCCACAGCCTTTCCCCCTATGCTGACATGTCTCCTAAAGCTCATGACAGTCAAGGGGAGACCAAAGGAGAGCCCTGGATGCCCAGTCCATCCTCACACTGCAGACCTTCCCTGAGCACTGCTTTTCCATCCTTTGATTTAAAAAAAAAATTTACAAGTCAAGGAAAAGTGATGAGGAACTTGGCGTCAGTGTTTTTTCCAGGGAGCATAACTAGCCAATATCTTTGCCTTTTTTTTTGTTTGTTTTGTTTTTGTTTTGTTAGGAGCTAGGGTGGTGGGACCCTCTAGTACTGGATTCAAGCTAGATGCCATCATTTAGGTGAAGTTTCTGGGTTTTTTCCTTTTCTTATTTTTTTTTTCTTCCCCTGGAAAAAATGCTGACTTGAGTTAATTTAACCACTTTTCAAATTTATGCTGGTTTCCCGGAATAGTTTTAGTTGTTAGAGGGAAGCTTAAAAACTTGCTAAGATGCAAAAATATCTGATACAATTTTTAGATGTTAAAGTATGCTTCCATTTTCTTTTGTCTTAAATTTGTTGCAGCATCTTTCAGATAAATGGTTTTGAGCCACATTTTTTGAAACAAAATATTTTTCCTTTGACATTTTATTCCCCTACATTTGTAAATCTATTTTTGAGTAGACGTCCAACTTAAAAAATGATGACCTCGATGGAACCTCAAAATAGATGACTCAGATGAGAACGGTAATATCCTAAGGACTTCAGAGCAAGCCCAGTCCACTGAAGAAGCCATAACTACTTTTTTCATGCTCTTTTATTGCTTTTCCATCCCATGGACTTCAGAAGGACTTGGACTCTTGTCCTTTGGTCATCCTCTCAAAGGAATTGTGGTGCAAGTAGCTCTTACCGATGTTCACAGGTTTGTTGGAAGGAGCTAATGGTCAGACTATCCTATCCTTGAAAATAGGTGTTTGTCAAGGGTGGTGGAAGATCCTGCTTGCTGGGACCAGGGGAGGTTGAGTTATTCCTTTGTCATCAATATTGCTGTGCAATGATTCTTTCTTGCATTTATTTTCATGCTCATCTTTAGTGTGATCCCTATGTGAAGATTTCAGTGGGAAAGAAATCCATAAATGACCAAGAAAATTACCTTCCCTGTACGCTGGACCCTGTCTTTGGAAAGTAAGTTTTGATTCAGTTTGGAGTCCATGTGGTTTTTTATGTCATATTGAGGGAATAGGGGCAGGCCAGCTTCCCATCCCAGTCTACAATCAAAGTTAAATCAGTGGGGCTCTGAGCAACCTGATCTAGCTGAAGATGTCCCTGCTCATGGCAGGAGGGTTGGACTAGATGGCCTTTAAAGGTCCCTTCCAGCCCAAGCCGTTCTACGATTCCCCTGGAGTGCTCTTGGGTCATGTTAGCTTGCTGAAGTGAGTCTGGCCTTGGCTCGACCACTCTCTTGCCCTCCATGGCTCATTCGTCTTCTCCCTGGGACTTTTGAGCTGTGGAGCACGGACTGCATCTGCTCTGCCATCAGAGTTTTTAGATCTGAGATTCCCCTGTGGAGGCATCTGCCTCATCCCACTGATGGTAGAGAGTCTGGGAAACTGTTCCTCATTTAGGCACTTTTCTTAAAAGACATGATGAATGTTTGATTAGGCTCTGAAACAGAATTATCTATTAATATGGTGTGGGCTGGTTGAGTTGTTTGCCTTGCATTAGGGCCACAAACTTAAGATAAAAGGCAAAAGATGATGTTTTCAGAAAAGGGCATTCATCAGAGCCAGAAAGCATCATAGGGACCAGGCAAAGCAGAGGGAGGCAGAGGAAAACCTGGTGTTCAACCTCCATGTGCTGAGAGGATTTTATTCTCCCAGAAAAGCTGGGGTTAGATCTAGAGGGTAATGCTTCAGCACAAGCAGGGATCAAGCCCTACTCGGCATGACATCCAGCTGGTTTTCTTAGGTGGTTCTTACCAGCTCAGGCTGTCAATGCTGTGACACCTTTCTTGCTTTGTTAAGCAAGACTGAGAGGGAGATACATGATCTGCAAGGAAGGAGGAAAAGGGAGAAGGATGGCGAGGGTGATACTGGTGAGACCTGGGAGGACAGTGTGCATTAGACATATTTCCTCTTCGTTTGCCAAATGGAGGTGGCGGTCCCGATGGTGAATTGAAAGTGGTCGCTCCCCGTCTAGCGTGAGGGAGCCCTGACCTCCAGTGGGCCAGGACCTACTGCCCTGTTGCAGAGCCCACAGCCAGATCCTGGTGAGCTCTGCTTGGCAGAGCAAGTCCTCCTTCGCCAAGCCTGGCTCCCGGCCAGAGGCCGTCTAGACAGCGTGCTGCACCTCCCACCCGGTCTTTAAAGCAAGATGTAAAACCGAGGTCCTGGCTGCTGGCGGCTATTAAACATCTCGTTTCACGAGCTTTCCCCTGGGCGGCTGGCTGCCTTCCAGCTTTAGCTAATTACTTTCTGCTGACCCCAGTTCCTCCTGCACTCTTAATTGGTGGCATAATCACTCACTTCCCCTCCTTAAAAGCTGCTCCGGGGTGGGTGCTGGCAGCAGGAATGGGCATCGTGTTTCTCCCCAGCATTGCCTGCCTTTCAGCAGCAGGTGGAGGGTTCCTGGTAGTGCTGGGTCAGGCCTGGACTGTCCTGCTCACCCTGTGGTACCACCTTGTACGTCGCTGACATCCATGAGCACCAGCTTGGTCTAGATCTGGGTGTTGTGTTTTGTCAGGGTCTTGGTGCTTTGTCTCTTGATCTCCTTTATTTGAAGAGGGAAAGGAAGGTTTGCTCTTGCTTTTTGTTATGTCAGTATGTTAACTGTGGTGTAATGATGGGAGAGGAAACAGCACAGAAAAAAGGTGCTTAGAACTGGGAGGAGAGGGCAAGGAGGTTTTGAGGGGTCAGCTTCATGCTGACCACAAGCTTGGCCCAGGCAGGCTTGACTTCTGTTTTGGATGTTTGCTCTTTGGGCTCAAAGAGCAGATGGTTTTCTAAAGCTGTCTTTTCTCCCCCTTTCAAATTCCGTGGCAATGATGATGATTCCTGACTCTCACCTGCAGCTCTTTTCCCTGGATATTGCAGTGTCCACTGTTATGCCCAATGAGAAACTAAGCAGGGGCAAAGTTTGCTTCAGAGTAATTCAACCAGGTGAAAAGAAACCCAATACATGCTTGCTTAGTGCATATCCACAAACTAAGCCAGTACAACACAGGATCAATAGTACTAGGCCAACATAGTAAAGATGTGCAGTGGGTGTAGTGTCCTTCCTGGCCCTGGTGGGTTGGGATGGTGTGTACGTCTGTTTCCTGTGAGGTACTCAGCAGCATGAACCTTCAACTCATGGGTATTTCTTGGCTCCTGCTGCACAGGATGTTCGAGCTGAGCTGCACTCTGCCCCTGGAGAAAGATTTGAAGATTACGCTCTATGACTACGACCTACTGTCGAAGGATGAAAAGATTGGGGAGACCATCATAGACCTGGAGAACCGTTTCCTGTCAAAATATGGGGCTCGCTGTGGCCTCCCCCAAACTTACTGCGTGTAGGTACCTCTGCAGGGTCAGGGAGTGGGTCTCTATAGATGCCAGGGCTGTGTGGTGCCAAGTTGGACATGGGTATGAGGGTGATGTTTCAACCCAAAGATCTGCTGGCTTAAGGTTGTCCCAAGGGGAAGTGACCAGTGCTGTACTTCACCAAAGAGATTTGTCTAGAGAGACAGATTCACACCAGAGAAACTCCACATTTGAGGAACTTCTCTGAGCCCTGGCTCTCCTCCAGAAGCACAAAATGCTTCAAATAGCAGAAATCTCACTGGGGAGATCCTGTTATGTCCCTGATGCCTCTTGGGCACACTGCGGTGAGGACATCCCCCATGCACAGGGCCAGCTGAAGGGTGACATAGTAGGTCTGGGTAAGAGAGCTATCGGACACCCCATCAGTGCAAACTGGGGCTGAGTGGGCTGTGGAACATGCAGCCCCGTTCACCAGTGAACACAGAGTGAACTGCACCTTCCTCAGACCATCCTTCTTTGCTGTAACGCTGCTGCTGCCCCTTGTTGAGGCTGGAAGATGTTTTATCACTTGCTGAGCTACTGTTTTCCCTCCTGTTTGGTTGATTTCAGGTCTGGACCCAACCAGTGGCGAGACCAACTCCGTCCTTCCCAGCTGCTTCACCTCTTCTCCCTGCAGCACAACTACAAGGCTCCCAGCTACAAGTCCGACCGGGTCATCTTCAGGGAGCAAGAGTACATCCTCTCTGAACTGGGTAAGGTAATGGGGCTGTTTTGGGGTTGCAAATAGTTTTCCTTTATCCAGAAAAAAGGGATGGAGTTGTAGGTCATGACCATATCACAGTAGAGGATTATTGTGGAGGCCAGGAGTGGGTGATAGGCACATCTCTCTCCTCCTCACCTTGCTGCCCAGTTTGGCTCTGCACCTTTCTGAAGGCTGGCTCTGCCCCAATGGTTGCAGGTTGCAGTTGGATCTGCACCAAACCCTGGGGCTGAACCCAGACCTGCATTCCAGCCACGTTAACCTTGGCCTTGAGCGGCTGCCCTTTTCCACTTAGAGCAAACCAAATAACATGTGGGCTGGGAGCAGCAAAGTCCATCGCAGCCAGAGAGGCTCCAGCCTGGTCTTCCAGCTGCTGCTTGGGCTGGAAGGAGCCGTTGTGCTGTTTGTGTCTCTGCGTTTTGGGGCTGGAGTCACTAGAGGGAGACAATATCATACACACGGTGCCCAGCATCCCGCTCCAGCGCTCACGGCCCGCGGGGCGAGGTGTGCTCTATCTGGAAATGCAAAATCAGCCTCTGCCAGCAAGGAGAAAATATCACTGAGGGTTGGGGAGGCATTTTCTTGTTTGCCCAAAAACCCACCAACACTGACACCTGCAATATCCTGGGCATCAACTCGTACTCATCTGACTGCCATTCTTGGGCACAGAAGTATGCCTTTTAGAGAAGATTCTGCTTTAAAGCATGGAAGGGGTATTTTGGCATAGGGAGGAGGTGAGACCCCACTGTATGGCCTGGGAGCTGCAGTTTGACTTTAGGGCCACGACAGTATTGCAGAGCCATCTAGGAGGACTTTGCCTGCAGAGGCACAAGATGGCACAGCCCAGGGCTGATCCCCCTCCCTGCTCTTGGGAATCAATGCACAAATTCATGGTTGTCCTCTTAGGAGGAGGAGGAGTGGGGGAGCAACACCTCCTTTGCAGCCTCCTCTTATGCGAAAGGTTTTCAGCAAGGGCTGGAAAGGTGTTAAACCGAGCGGGGTCTTCCCCCCTCTCCCAGCCCCTGCCTTTCACCTTCCTCTGCTTTAATGGCAATCAGTTCAAAAAACAGAACAAAGTCTGATGCTTGACCTCAAGGAGATCTGGAAACCAGCTGTGTTCGCAGAGCAATGTCAGATCTGAACCTGGCGGTATAAAGTGAAGCTATTAAACGCGAGAGCATGGGTTTTACAAGCACTGCACCCGGACCATTATTCCATAACCCCCACATTTGTTGTTTTCTGAGAAGGGCTTTTTCTTTTTCCTGTGCATACACACACACACACACACACAAGCACGCCAGGTTTCCACTGCTTGGGAAATAGCCCATATGTCTGAAGTTAACCACTTCAAGATATTGCCAAGAAAGGAGCTGGGATATATCACCTGAAAGTTGCAGAGCTGTAATAATATTTATGGAGCGCATTTCATTTCAAAGGTCCTCGAAGGTGCACAGCCTTAAAACGCTGTGGCCGAAAGGCAGTGTCTTGGGGGTGATGTCCTCCACCAGCACCAACATGGCACGTGGGGATGGGGAGGCAGGAGCAGGCTCAGCCGAGACCAAGCTGGCTCCATCCTCCATACCTGGATGTAACAAGGGATCCTGAGTGCTGGAGCAGAGAAGTCAAAAATCTCCATTATTGGAGATCCAGTCAAAAATCTCCATTATTGGAGATAGGTTGGATCTTGTTCAATCTATTTGTAGAGGTATTAGGGTCTGATGTGGAGTGGGTTGAGGAGGTGGAAAAGATTTCAGGTCTGCTCACGTACAGCTCGGTATTTGCTGTGACTGTTGTGTACTGGCCTGTTTTGATGAAAGACCACGAATACCCTAGTAGAAGCAATGAGGACCAGAACAGGGACTAGGACCAGCCACTGAGCTGTGCTGGTGGTGTCTGCATGGCCATCCTTTTCCTGTCATTTCTGTCTTTCACCCCGAACCCAGCACAGAAGAGACAGGACTCTGTAGGGAGCACATTCCCAGTGCACTCCTTTCTGCCCAGCTGAAGACGCCGGATGGTTTTAAATGACGGGATTTAAACAATATCCATTACATGAGTACTTGCAAACTGTACCAGAGCAGACTCTTTCATCTCCTCTCCCTGAAGAGCTTTGATCACATGTTAGATAAACCTCTGCTGGGGGTGTGAGTGGCGGCAGAGCAGCAGCATGGGCTGGAGGGCTGCTGGGGACCCTGCAGCCTCAACTGCTAGGATTTTAGGGGCCCTGAACCCTTGAGGAGGATCAAAGACTGGACTGTTATTTCTGTGTGCTTCAACTTGGTCCTTGCAATGTTTCACTTGCTGTGATCTGGGGGAGGACACGCGTGAGACTCGATGCAGGTCCCTGTCCCACTGTACGGTGGTTTGTCCATGTGTCCCACTGGGAATGGGTTGCCCTGTGCTCTGGAATGTTTGTGATGATGCTGAATGTGCAAATGGAGGTTGCACTCCTCCTGCTCACTCCTGGCTGCAGCCGAAGCTGGTAGGCTTGTGCTTGATCCCTTGGGAAGCTCCCATGGGGCAGTCAGAATCTGTCGCTGCACAGCTGTGGCCGTGGCGTGATGTAATGGTGCTCTTATTCTGCTCTGTGGCAGAGGATGGGAAACCCCTCAACCCCCACCTGGGGCCAGTGGAGGAGCGCCTCGCCCTTTACGTGCTGCGGAAGCAAGGGCTGGTGCCGGAGCACGTGGAGACAAGGCGTCTCTACAGCCCTCTCCAGCCAGAAATCGAGCAGGTGGGTGGTGTGACGCATCCAGGACAAGACCAAGAGCATCCCCTCCTTTCTATCCAGTGCTAGCCAGGTGGCTGGCTCACTGTGGAGCCACGCTAGGGACACCTGCCCCAGGAGATGGGCTGTTCCCAAGGTGGGGAAGCAGCTTATGGGGCACAGCAGAGCACTGGCTATCAAATGCAGGCTGGAGCTCAGCTCCGTGGCTGACTTGCTCAGGGTGCTTGGGGAGATCGATTCCAGCCTCATGTGTTCATTTCCATCAGCATTTGCTTACAATTTTTTTTTTACTTTTGTATTTTTGTGGGAAGGCCATTTCTCATCTGAAAGTCTTAATGCAGAATTATTCTATAATGGTAGTGACACCGCAGGCTCCTTTGGCAATGCAGCAGCATGATTTCTGCAGCTTGAACACGCTCTTGGAGGTGTAAAATGCTAGTAGTGTTGCAGACTTGATGTTTTTAAGCCCAATGAAAACTAAGGGGCTCCCATCCAAAACCAATTGAAATCCAGGTATCTGTATTTAGCCTAAGCCCTTTTCTTTGATTAGCACATATGTGTAGTTTATGCATTTGGATCAAAAAAAGCTGCCTCCCAAAGAACAAAATGATTAATTATCATCTGTCATACATGTTCCAGTTGCATTGCAAAGGCAGTTTCGTGAGACTGGTTCTGCAGCTGGTGTAAATGTGCACAGCCCACTGATCTGCACCGTTTCAGCTGTTTCCCTTCTGTGGTTCATTTTTAACCAGAACACCTCTCCAGTGGTGGGAGAGGAGAGTTGTTGGCAGAAGTAAATGCACTGACAACTACTCTAACATCTTTTCATATTAATTCACCCAGTGAAAATGATGATTAGAGGCAGGAGGTGGCTGCTGGCAGGTGACCAGTGGGTCTGCACTGTTCTTCCAGGTACGGGTGTCATGGTCTTGTTGGACCAGCTATGGAGACTAGCAAGAGTGCTTCCTCCATGACATGGGGTTGCATATGGGCAGAGCAATCTGGGTCTGCCCTGCCCCAATGCTTCTAACCAAGAGCATCCATAGGAGTGAAGCTGGGTCCAGGGGATTAATCTGTGTGACTCAGTACATGCTACATTCAGGGCAGTTCCCAAAAGCATGGCTCTGACCTGCTGCAAAGCCACAGAACAAGCTGGCTTTGTCAGGCTGTTCGCAGTGAGCTAAAAGCCAGGTTGGGCTTTTAAAGTTTTCTGCTGAAATGGAAGATTTTCTTGCCAAAAGCAAGCAAACCACAAACCCCTCTGTGATGGGCTGATTGTCAAAGGATGGCTTTTTTTTTTCTTTCAACCCTTGAGACTGCACAATAAAATATTTTATTGGCACCCATTGGTGTTTTACAGCAAAAGAGACCACCTAAAAAACATCCCCCTTCCCCCCCGCCCCCCCGAGATTTTAGCTGTATTTCTGTTGCTCTTTCCCTAGAAGGATTTTGTGGAAGTGGAATTAGATTCCCCTCTCCTCATCCTAGCTGCCACTCCCATGGTCATAGACCCATAAAGCAGCTGCCTAGGTGGTGACAACTGGTGACACCATGGAAAACAAGTGAACTGCTTGCTTCTCCAGCACCTCACATGGACCTAGTCTTCAGTCTGTCCCTGAGTAAAGATAAGCAGTCATGGAGGGTAAACCCAGAGTGCACCTTCAGCTTATCCAAACCAAACTCTTATACATATCAGGCCATTAACGTATACCCAATTATCACTAAAATAATTTTAATATAATACGTAAGGAATTAAGGAAGCCTTAGTTTTCAACTAAGGTGCACTGGACCACTTGATATTTTCTCTCTCCACACTGGGTCTTACTGAGGAGGTGAAGCTAACACATTTAGGAGGTTCACCAGGCTTCATGTGTCTTTCTTTCCATGCAGGGAAAGCTACAGATGTGGGTGGACCTTTTTCCAAAATCTCTGGGACAGCCTGGCCCCCCTTTCAACATCACACCACGCAAAGCCAAGAGGTGACTTGTTTCTCATTTCTTACTCAGTGTGGTGCTGGTTCCAGCACTTTCCATTTGTGAGGGGAGAGGAGAGGGGCTGGAGGTGCCAGATGAGGGGGAGATTCACCTGCCCAGCTGAGAAATGTCTATGTGGGCTTATTTTCAGAGAAAGATGACTCATGTCAGCTCCTTCAGCTAAATAGCTAAGTAGAATGTCCAGGTGAGCTTTAGACGAAGATTTTCACCCTTTCATGTTGCTTTTGTTCCCGGGGCTGTCCAGGTTCTTCTTGCGCTGCATCATCTGGAACACCAAGGATGTCATCCTTGATGACCTCAGCATCACGGGGGAGAAGATGAGTGACATCTACGTCAAAGGGTAAGCCACCCCCGCTTCTGTGTCCTTGAGTACTGTAGCCTGAAGGTGCAAGAGCAGCAGTGAAGGAGTTAACATGGCCCTTGCATCAACATTGCTGTGGTAGACCCCTGCTGGGATGAAGGGGCCATTCACACCTCTCCAGCTATGGATCCAGCTTCTTGGCACACAAGGCTCTGCTGTGCTCATAACCACTTCACGATGTCAAGTTTTTCTTTGCTTCTCTTGGATGCTTACATATTAACATTTAGAGAGATAAAATGGGAAGCAGCCTAGCCACTGCAGAGAGGGGCATGTAGTCTGCATTTCCACTGCCGACCCTTTCCCAGCTCCTCTCCTGGGACAGACATGGGCTTGTTCCATATACATAGGTTGGCTTGTTTGCATAGCTGCTTTTTTTGGAATTCCCTTTTTTCCTTGAAACACACAAAAATGTGGCAACCAGCAGTAACTCCTCTGGCACATTCCCTTCTCTGCCTGACTCCATTTATGTTTTATCTTGTGTAAAATGGTGCAATCCCAGCCAAGGGACTTACTTATTTTGTGCGTTCTTTGGATTTATGGACAGGAAGAGGTAGGATTTTGAAACAGACTGTAAATCCCTTTTTTACAATCCCAATTTTCCTCCTGTAAATCCAGAATGCGCGCTGCTTACCTGGTATTCACATCAAGTGCATTGTTATCAGCTCCAGCTAAGCTGCTCTGTGCACTTTGGGGCTCTGAAATAGTAGTCCTTGCAGGGTGTTACCAGGAACGCGAGAGCATCCAGCGCTTGTTGATATCCCTCTCCTGGCTTTTAGCATCCCCAATGACCAAGCAAATCTCGCAGTGCTGTAAATGAGTTAAAAACATTGCTCAACTTCCTCATCTTCCCCCCAAATGGCTGCATCATTGACATCTCTGGATAAGGCCCAAATCATCCTGTTGGAAGGGGAGGCAATGGTCCTTCTTGTCCTTAAGTGTCTGCCCTACAGACAGGGGAACCTGTAGGCGAAGCGACCTTCATCACCATGGTGTGCTGCTTTGGTGAGGACCATTCCTCTCATCCATCGCCGTCTCCTGAACAGGGGCTGAAGCTTGCTTTAGGGTGTAATCCATGGATAAGGAGCTTTTACCTGTGGTTTTCCTTCAGAAGGTTTCGCAGTGCTTCTCTGAGGAGGCTATTGCCAGTTTATTCTCCATTTAACCCATTAGGCAAGGCTAGGGATGGAATCTCGGTCTCTTATACGTTATCTTCTGCATAATATGTAAACTATTGTCGAGTCAGTTAGGAAGGTAAATGAAACCAGAGCTTTTCTATTGCCCCTGAGGCAGAACTCAGTTGCTGTTTATTTTATTTAATGTAATAAGTTATTTATTGATAGTCCTACAATAGCATGAAGAGGTCTCAACAAAGTTTAGGTTGTGCATGGTGGAGTGCAGAGAGACATTCCCTTCCTAAAGACTCGTGCTGTAGCTAGAAAAAGAGTGCTAGGGTAGGGAAATCATATTCATTAGAATCTAAAGATTATCTTTTTTTTGGTTAACAGCCCTCTCTGTCACTGTCATAGATGGGGGATGTTTTTGTATTGTTTTCATAGTGAAATTTCCAATAAAAAGTTTTACTTCACCAAGAGGATGGATCAACATTGAACCAGGTCACATGGGAGGTGGGAGGTCTTCACTCATCATCTTGCAAGTTTTTCAAGATATTTCAAGGTAAAACTTTGAGCCAATTGGACTAGAAATTTCCAGAGACCCCTTCCAACCAACCAGCACTACTAAGATTTTATGCAATATTATGTGGCATCTTTAAAACTCATCTACATCTCTTTTTGGGTTCCTAAATAAAAGGATGTCCTGGGTCCTCCAAGATCTTACACTTGTGCTAAACAAAAGGGGAGGCGTGCTAGTTTTGAGAACAATCTCCTCTTAGATGTAAGAACCTAGCCTTGCCTTTGGATATTGCAGATACCTTGAGCCACATGGATTTGAAAAATTCTGGATGTGTTTGCGCCAGTCCCAAGCTCTTTCCTGGACATCTGCTATTGGCACCAGTCAGAGACAGGATGCTGGGCAAGATGGACCTTTGGTTGGTCACCACAGCCATTCCTATGTTATGTTTTAATTCTGGGGCACTTTGACTTGAATGCTTTTGATTTCTGGCATCTCCTTCCTGTAGTGGAGAGGGTGCAACAAATCTGCAAGAAAAAACCCCAAACAAACATGCCAAAGAAGCATCTGAATCAAACCATTTATTTGTCCTTTTGTTTCCCTGCAAGGAGAGGGCGCTCACACTGCATCCTCCGAGGGTCCCTGACGAGCTCTGAAGGATGTGGATAAACACACAGGGTCACCATTTGCATCCTATCAGATCAAATCAAATAATCCAGCCACAATTTAAGTATTAGTATATCCTCACCACACAATTCGCGCTGCCATCAAGCCCTCGCTGTCCATGTAGCACATGTGCATGTGGTGTGTGTACTGTAGGATGAACTTGAGTAGACCTCCCTTTGCTGTCTCCAACAACACATTTGGGGTGGGTCATGTGCTCTTCTCAGGCCCTGTAGAAGAGAGGATCGTTTGTATAGCTGGGCAAAAAATCCTTATTTTCAATTTCAGTGGAAAACAATCGAACGAGATAATTGTTTTCATTAGAGGTTCCCTCTGAATCTTCTGGCTTTCCTCCAGAAAGGCTCTAAATACACAAATGGATGTGTTTTATTGTTTTGGTTTTTTTGTTGATTGCTGAAGACTGAAACATCTTGGACAGGGAAAGAGAGCGGAATGAAAACCCAACAGTTGCAAAACTCACAGCTGGAAAAAAGTAGTTGTTATGGAAAGTTTTCAGTTTGCCCCTGGGCTCATTGTGGGGTGACCACAGCAAGCTCTTTTAGACCAGGAGGGGAACTGAGCTGCAAGGACCTGTCGCTAATGGAAGCTGGCCACAGCAGGGTCTGGCCACTCTGGGATTTTCCTGGAGAAGAACTTCTTGGCCATTTAGGACTTTCAAATAATAATCTTTGAGAAATCGAAAATAGAGATTAAAAATGGCCCTTTGGTCCTTTAGCATGGTTGTCTCATCAACAGAGTGGTTTTAGAGGCTAACTACAAGGTCAGTTTGTTGGGGTGTCTGCAAAGGGGAACAAGCTCTTGCCAAGGCAGGATAGAAGCTGATGTGTGCTTGTGGATGGGTAAGTGACAACTTCGAGCCAGATCTTAAGGCAGTGTTGAGTCTTGAAAACATCCATAAACTGAGGAGAGGGGGGAGAAGACATTGCAGAGCTTCTCAGGCTGCTACCACCAGCAGTGGCTCGTCTCCCAACACTGCAGGGACTATTGCATTCCCTCCCAAGTCTCCTATGGACTCCAGGCTACCCCTACAGATAGCAGCCCAAGGCATTCACAGGGATAAGAGACATTTTATTACCTGCTCATTGCCTCTGTGACGTTGAGTGAATTCCAAAATTGCTGGTGTGCTTCTTGTTTTTCATACAACATGTTTGCATTTTGCAGCTGGCTGATCGGCCATGAGGAGAACAAGCAGAAGACAGATGTGCACTACAGGTCTATGGGAGGAGAGGGCAATTTCAACTGGAGATTCATCTTCCCCTTTGACTATCTTCCCGCTGAGCAAATGTGTTACATCGCAAAAAAGGTGAGTGTCCCTGGACAAATATTTCTACCTTCTCATAGTAACTCTGGGGTGAAATGCACTGCATGATCTAAGACCCGCACAACTGCAGCACCAATGGAGCTCTGCAAGGCTCAGCCCTACCATTGCATTATTTGAAATACAAAGCTGTGGACAGGTGGGAAAATTGGTTTAAAAAATTCACATTTTGCATACAACATTTGTGGGGTCAGAATTAGAGGTGGCTTTGTATATAGAGCCTGGAGCAACTGTCCCCCCAGGAAAGACTCCTCTCGACCGGACGTAGCTGAATATTGGTGCAGTGGTGTCAAAGTACTCTCCAGATTGCATGGGACTTCCCAAGATGCCTAATCAACAATGAGGTTACTCCAAAGATGGAGATGTCATTTTGAAGGGGGTGGTTAAGTATGCGTCTCTGGCATGGCATGATGGGCATCACGCTGAACCTGCAGATTAGGAGGCGTGTTGTTGGGTCTGTGTGTCTGTGTGGACAGCAGGGATAACCCCTGCTTTCGAGATTCAGTCTTGTTTTGTGACATCTCCCTAAAAGCTCAGACCCCTTCAGCCAGCCAAGCCAAGCCCGAGTCTTTGTCCCTGCTCCCTGTATTGCCACTGTGAACTTGACCACGGTGTTTGTTGAATACAGGGTGTCCAAAGACACCTCGTTGCAGTGGGACCATCTGCATCTGCAAAGCTCACCTGGGACTCCGATCCCAGTTTGTTTTGTGGGGCCAGCAAGGTCCCAGCGATGGCCTGGGTTGGAACTGGCACTTTGGTGGGGAAGATGCTGAGTAAATTCCCCATCTCTCAAGCCAGACGATCCCTGCGAGGAGGCCTAGCTTCAAAATGAATGGCTGGATAGTTAAACTGATTGACAGAATCATAGCTGTACCCATTTCACGCTTCATGTTAAACAAATCAAAAGTACAGTGTGTACTACATTCAATTATCCCCCTTTGAAAAAGCAAAGACCCCCCTATAAACCGTTTAAGAAAATACATCCCACTGTGCTGATATTGATTCTCCTCCGACCACATGTCTGCCAACACTGTATCAGAAAATAAACAGCTTGTAAAACCTGTCTGTAAAGGAAAAAATAATGAATGAAAAGCCATGCTTTGCATTTGTGGGACACATTCCGCTCTGGCAATTTTTGATCTCGCCATGTGCTGTTTGAACTCCAGGTTCATTACTGCTGCTGTAAAAGCCCATGCACCGAACTTTAAACGCAGGCAATGGAAAGTGGAATTTAAATCAAAATGGTCAGATGGCAAATTCTGAGCTGCTAAAAGCCACCTGCACCCAAGCCTTGCTGGTGTTGGCCCTCAGAGAGAGCACTGCTGGAAGGAAAGCAGCTTTGAATTTGCTCTCCTTTGTTTGCTCCACTCGCCTCCTCGCAGGCTGGAGGTCCCTTTCGCGTTGCAGGATGGACTGCAGGAATAGGTCACTCCCAACCCAGATTGCAAATAGCTCCCAACAGAGCAACAATGCCCCTGGACAGCAGGGTCTCTGCAAAGTTTAGTTCTGGGGGGCACTGGGAGCTTGCAAACCTGGGGAAAACCCAGGTGCCACCTGGTGGAACTGGACTCTGAAGCCTTGGGATGGCCAGTGGTAGCCAGGATTGTTTAATCCTTGCCACAGTACAGGAAGTTTTTGGAACTTCATCTCCAAAGCTTTCAAGTGCTGAGATTTCTTGGGGTTTCAAGGCTTCAGTCTTCCCACAGGACACCTCAAGGGAAAGCAGGAGGCTGCAAATCCTGTGAGCATCAATTCAACCTATGGATTGGAAGTGTCAGTTCTTATTCCTGCTTTTCTAAACATTTTAATAATTCTGGATGTTTTTCCATCCGTATCTTCTCTTGCTGCAGTAATCTTATAAAGATTTTGCTTCTCCTTCCGAGAAAGGAATTTCCCCATTCAAAAAAATCCCCATGAAAGAGCAAGTCCACCTTTGGGACAGCTCTTCTGAAAATATGTAAATGTGTGTTTCTTTAACATCCTCTCTCAGTATTTATTCAGAATTTCGTTCTTCTGCTCTTGCTTCTTTTTGTGCTACCTTTCTCTAGCAGCCATGGACAAGTCAAGCCATGTCATTTGCAGGGCCACAGTATGCTTGCAGCTTGCTGAGTCCTACAGGAAGAGAGTTTCTTAGATTGCAAATCATGCGATTGTTTCGGTGAAAGGGTCAATACACAATGCATGTTGGAGCGAGGGTATTTCAGAGGGGGAGCTAGGGTAGAAAAGTAGACTCAGTGCCCCAGAGACGTTTGCATGAAATTACATACTGTCTTAAGTAGGGGAGGAACAGGCAGGTCCAGGTCCCAGATGAGGACAATGCTCCGCTGCCAACCAGCAGCGAGAAGTGCAGATGTCTGCAGGGTTTAAACTTCAGATCCCCGGGTCTAAGCCTGGCACGTCTTGACTCTTGCAGACAATGTTATCAGATGGTCATGGTACAACCAGAGTCTATCAAGAGCAATGCTGAGGTAGGCTGGATGTGGATCACGTTTCACTGGGCACCCGGTCAGAGAGGCGCTCAGCTCCCACATCTTGCAGGCGCTATGGAGGTGGAAAATGCATGAAATTGATTTTGAAATGTTCAGCTTCAAGTGCCAATTACAGCAGTAGCTGAATATAGCTGCCAAAGCTGAATTCTAGATGTCCTTCAGGGTAGAAAAAGCTTGACACTGAATGTCTGAGCAAGTCATCTGTATAAATGAACATTCAGGGTAGAATTTCAAGAGCATCTTAATATAATGTTAAAAACTATTGGTGCTTGAGTGGACCTGGAAATAAACCACTAGGCTGGAGCTTCCAGGACCTGGCTGGGTTGTTCATATACCATCTGAAAAGTGTTGCATAAAAGAAATTCCAGGAGATGAAGATAATGAGTATGGGAGCATTGTTGGCAATTTCAAATCTATGTCATGCCATGCCATTGGCAGAAACCAGACCAAGGAACATGTTTGTTGTCTTCATAGTTGTTCTGCTACTAGACTTTGGTGTTAGGTGTCAACAAGAAAATGAAGTATTGATGCCAGAACACAAAATACTCTGTTTTGCAAAGACAAAGAGAGCCATTGGAAGAGGACCCATCCCACTACTGTAGAAGAAACCACAATCAACTATCTGGTTTATTCAGTGGCAAGGCAGGGGCAGTTGTGGTGAGGTTGTTTCTCAAGGAGCTGTTACGTACATTTCATTTCTTCCATGTTGTGCTCCCAAATAAAGGGGCTATCCAAGTCTTAAGCAGATTAATTGCAACCTACCTGGGTCCTGGACATCTGTCAGTGGTGGGTGCATGCTGCTCACATGGCTAGAAGTAGGTGGTCCTACTTCCTGGACAATCCCAGGAATAACCCTGTGGTTGTGAGATATCAATGGTGCTTGCACATATCTCTTTGATTGAGACCGTTTCTACAGGATGCAGATAAAGTCTCCAACTCTGCTGTTTCTTTCATAGAATATAACAACAAACCTGACATTTGGAAGGGTTTTTTCTAGACCTGATCTGCTGGTGGCATCCCAGAAATCATACTAGATATAGGTCTCCAAGAGCGATATGAGAAAGAGGGAGGTTTGGGGTCTTAAACACAACTTGAGAGAAAAGTGCAAAGACATTTGAGAGAAAAGCAGGGAAAAGGGGGCTGCAACTCACAGCTTGTTTTGTTCTATTGCTGAGTGGAGCTGAGAATAAATTCCTCCCTCCCTGGCGCGGAGGCTTTCCCAACTCCATCTGGTTTCATCGATTCTGGTTACTTTGTCTGCAAATTCATTATAGTGTCCTGACATCTTCCTGGTACTGACAGCTCTGACCTGTAACGGGCCAGACCCTCACCTGGGGCAGATCAGCCGGTGCATTCCTCTGCGCCCAGTAGATTCGCACCAGCTGGGAACAAGGAGCTGGTGCCAGCGGCAGGGCACGCCGGGACGTCCCCGTTGCAATTGATTTTGCATGGGGAAAGCTCACACCGTGCCGTGATGGCTCACAGTCCAATGCTCTAAATTAGCCGAGAGCTTGTGGGCAGCCTGGGCTCGGTGTATTAGTCAGACAGGGCAGGAGTTTACCCTGGAGCTAAGTGTGTGGCCTCTCCATTGTTTAATTAAAAAGAAAATAAATAGCCAAGCGTGTGAGATTTCTGCAACTGGGTCCCTGTATCATCCCCTTGTTCTGTTACAGTCGTTGCTGAATCTCCAGGTTGTCCGAAGAAATCTTTGTGCTCTGCTTGGTTTTACATTGAAATTCTGAATATCAAGCACTGATTTGTGTTATAAACAATTTGTATTTTATTAGATTGAAATTTTCGTTCTTCTTTGGTGTCAGAAACCTAAAAAAATAGCTATTGCCTTTTAATTTTTGACTCTTTCTTCTCGTGTTTCCTGTCCTTTATCTTGTCCTCCCCTGTTTTTCTTGGTGACATCAGAAAGCAAAGCAAACTACAAAATGTCCATTTTCCTTCCACATTTAGTGAAAATGCAACATTTTGAATGGGCTCTAAGTACCTTTTTTTTTTTTCAGAGGAAGGCAGAGTTGGACAAGGCAGTCACATATTACGTATTTTAGTGGGACTGCAACAAGCAGATACAATGCAACCGTCTTCTCTATTAGGACAGGGGCAGCAGTTGTGACCTGGGATGTACTGGCAGCCTCTGAGATATTCAGACATGAGTTACTGTTGTGAATTTTCCTTTCCAATGGATGTATGGAGAGGGCTGAGCAAAGCGTGGCTTCAAGAACTGAAGGTCCAACAGCGCCATTCACAAACTGGCCAGGACTGGGACATCAAGGCTTGGAACTCCCTAAATGTCAGTGGGATGGCCCCATGTCCCTAGAAAAGCCTGATAAACTCTGCCAGAGGGAAAGCATGGGAGGCTGAGGAAATGGCATTGCGGTGATTCAGGGACTGAAGTAAGAGTATGGGCCCCAAGGCAAATTTTATGACAATTTCACATTTATGGTGCGGTGACGCCTGGAGTTTATCTCCAGGTATTGGCAAGGCTGTGCCCAAATGTGCAGCTGATGCTGCAAGCTTGGGATTTCACTCAGCTGCCCTCCTGATCAGGGAAGGATGCAGAAAACCGTGAGGCCTGTGATGTGAGTTAGTCCAGCAAAAGTGCGATAATGAGCACTCTTAGCTAGCTGCTTATTACAAATAAATGAATGTCCCAATGGGACGAGGTTCAGGGAAGCAGTTTCTCAACATCTTGAAGGATGGCCCTGTAGGACAGCTTGTCCTGGCTCCTACAGCAGAAGAGGCTCTTCTTGACTGACCTCCGAAGGGGTCTCCTATATGGCTGGGGCTCCCCAGTTGCTGTGGGATGAGGGACCGATTCTCTCCCATATGCACGTGCTGAAATGAGCCAGGATTCCTTGGGTGCGAATGCACTGGGGCCTCCCTGAAATAGCGGGGTTGCTCCTTACTTTGTATTCCGTAGCACATAAGCAACCCAGAAGAAATGCAGCCCTGTCAACACTTTCCAAGTGATATGAGCTTATTTTTTTCCTACCTCCCCTGCTGCATTATTCACGACTGTAAAATATTCACCAGCCTCCCCTCTCCCCCTACAATGCAAAACAAACCCCCAAACAATAATTCAAGCCCCCTTCCTTGCAGAAGGCTAGGAAATAAATTTCTTGCTGTGGGTTGTTTTTATAGTGAACTTTTGTAGCTAGATTTAATCATGGAGGCAAATTTCACACTGCCTTGAAACGGACCCATAAACTTAGCTCAGCATCAAATTCCTCCTTCCCAAGCCTGCCCTTCCAGCTCTGCTCTGCCGTGTCCCCAGCTTCACGGGGCTCAGAGGAGGAAAGCTTCACCACCGGCCAAACCACATTTACAGTGTTTTTCCACAAGAAAGGCCAAAGCTGTACAGATTGTGCTAGCGTTGTACGAGCTCCTCATTGCCACCCGGAAAGGGTTGAATACTGCTTGAGTCATCCTTCATCGGGCAGGGAGTCCCTGGCAAGACTGGGCATTGCTCTCAGGGGTAGAAGTGGTGCTGGGGAGGCAGGGGGGTGCAGCAAGCATCCGTTTGGCCAGGCTATAGGTTTTGTTTGCTTTGAGCATGGGCAGTTCTGTGGGCATTGCAGCAGCAGAAGGGAAGGTGGAAACCCAAAGTCCTCTATGTTTGCCAGCAACTGCCTGGTCTCCTAGAGGACGTGTATCCAGTTGTGTTTTGTTGTGTGGGAGATGGCCATAAGGCCCTGCAGCACCCACTGCTTCTGACCTGGGTCCAAGGTGCTCTCCTCCTGTCCTGGGAGAGCTCAGCTAGAACTGCAGATGGGGAAGGAGCCCACCAAGAGGAGGAGGATTGCTGCATCAGCTCAGAGATTGAGACAGTAATTTGGGTCTCACAGCAGCCTGCTCCCTATCGTGGTTCCTCCTTTTTCCCCATCAGGGGACTCATGGGACTGGATCTTCCACCGGGTAGTACCTTTGCCGGAGAGAACAGCTGCCATTATTACACCTCCCTTTCAGAGGGGCTTCTCAAGTGCTGAGTTTTGTTCACATTCGACTCCAAGTAGATGGGGTGGTGCAAAGAGAAGGTCCAACACGTGCTTGGAGAGGTGCTTCAATCCAGGCAGCAGCATAGCGATGCTCTTGGAACATGGACACATTTGATGAATGGAGATGTGGGGAAATCAGCCTCTGAGCTAGGGACATTAGTTATCACCAGAGAAGAAGAGATACCTGTAGGACATGTTTTATCCTCTCCCATGGTGAGCACGGATGGGGCTGCCTGAATTCCCCTGGAGCCCATGGTGTCTTGCTGTGGTGCACACCATGCAAAATGTGTCTGCCTCCATTTCACAGACCCCAGATGAACCTTTCCAACCCAAGGTGAGTTCATCTGGCCACCTTCTTTAGGCATGGGTACATGGTTCCTGGTGGCTTGCCCTTCTGGATGACTAACAACCCTTCTGTAGCACATGACCCTACCAATATATGAGAAAGGGAAGAATCACCATAAGCTCTTTCCCTTTTTAGTTTTAATTTAAAATTACTTATTAGCTGGGAAAAAGTGCCCCCCTCCTTGGATAAACATACGTTTTAATACATTGCAATAAGCAGAGGGGGAGAGATGGAAGTTTCCATTGACTTTATTTTGTTTTTCTAGATTATAAAATATTTAAAAAGCATAAATAAAATGCTCCATTGCAAAAATGCTGGCGTGTATTTCCAAAGCAAAGCAGGGAATGGAGCTAAATTGAAATATAACCGTCCAGGGTGATCTCTTAAAGTGAAACCAGTTTCAATGGGATTTAAGCGCCCACAGTCTCCCTGCTTGAATATTTATGTTCTTGTGGAGTGTGACACATTCTTTCTTCCCCCCTTTTTTTTAATATTACACGATATAATGAATCAGAGTCTTGTAGCCACTGCAGTGAATTTATGGTGCTACGTATGTGTCATGAATAATGCTGAAGTTTCCTGGTTTTAATTAAATCTGTTCGTTTATGATATTGCCATGTTGCAAGAATGCAGCAGGAGGCATTGCCCACAGGGCACACCTCTGAGCCTGTGTCAGTAGACACTGGTCATGACTCTGCCTCCTCTTTGTGAGTGTTGGTTGGAGCCAGAAATAACAGGAACCTGGCTTTTTGTGTGTCTCTCCTTCTGTCCTAATATTTCTCAGCCCTAACTTTCAGGCATCTTGTGGCATCCAAAAAGTGGTATTAGATCCCTGTTGGGAAATGTTCTTGGTTGCAACCACATAAATAGCGAATTTTGTGGCATAGACACATATCCACCATATATTATAATGATGTGACTGCAAACTCATTGTCTCGGTAATGTGATTCAAGCCCTCCTTATTAGAGAAGTCTACTTTAAATTTTCCCATCCTCTGGCTTTTTGGGGAATGTTGGTCTGACTATCCAGGATGCAGACTATCTGCCTTGCTGTTGACCTATCCACTGTAGTAACAGGACCACTGCAGTTGCAAACTTCTCATGGATGAGTGTTTTATAAATCATCTCCTCTCCAGAAAAGCAGAAAATTCCACCTCATCCTATTGATGAGCTCCCATCTGGATGCTGTCTCACAGGCAGTGGCTATTCCTTATTACTGTGGCCAGGTTGCAGAACAGATGGATGATAGCTCCAGCACTGCACAAGGCTTGGTAAACGATGATAATCACCGGTGATGTTCATGGTGTAATTTTCATTGCAGGTGCTTAGAAAATAGGCTTCTGGGACTGCTGCAAAACCTTTCAAAAGGTTGTCACAGCAGATCTAGTGGCAGGGAACTAACAATCTAACAGATTGACATCTAATGGAAATGAGAAGGGCATATATGCAGTGACAGCTCTCACATTATAAGGACTGAAATCAAGTGTCACAGTGTCACTGCTCAGTTGGTGGTACACAGGCTCTGGTGAGGGTCTGGCCAGTGAGGCTTTGGTCATCATGGCTTGATGGTGCACTGAGTCTCTCCTTTCTTGAACTTCGACGTAGTAATAGATACAGCAAGCAAATTGAATAGCTTGGCAGCATCCCAGTATAGTATTAGCAGCAGATTTACCAGAATATCATGTCCAACTCTAGCTTTCACCTGTCCTGAGAATGAAAACCTGGAAGACGTGCAGAAAAGATGAACAACGTCATTTGAGAACTGAGGAACCCATCACATAGTGAACTGCTATGAAAGCACCAGTTCTCTTTCTTCACATATTCTGGTTTAGTAAGTAAACTTGGGAGCCACAGGCAACTTACAGGTGATAGAGGTGTTTGCAAGTTGGCCAACTGCACACAAACTACTTACAACAGACTGAACAGAGCAGCGGTGGATCCAGATTTATTCCTATATTTTTCCATTAATTATGAGGAAGGTGAAGTTTGGCAGCACTGCCACTCAACACTTGTTGCTTTCTTCACCTTAGAGAGTCACCCTCATCTAAATCACATGAATATGATTCTGTCACTTCAAAAGATCCTATTTGCAATCTCGTGTTTAGCTTGTTTGCTAAAATATTGTCACTAAATTAAGGCACAAATTGATACCAACATAACTTTCAGAAGCATCTTGGGTTTTCCACGGAGCATCCTTATCCAAGAACCGACCAAAGCCAGCGCTGTCCTGCTGTGGCTCTGGCCCTGCAGAACTGGAGCAGGACACACCAAGAGCACTATGTTACAGGACTTCTACTGTTGTGAGATGAGAGTAGCCAGGCTCTGCCCACTTCTACTAATGAGCCATTCATTTTTCCTTGGTTTCTTTTCCGGTGTGATTTTAGGAGCACTTCTGGAGCTTGGACAAGACAGAAAATAAGATTCCACCACAGCTTATCTTCCAGATCTGGGACAATGACAAGTTCTCTTTCGATGACTATTTGGGTAAGTCGGGAGATTTTTTTGTCTCCATTCCTGCTGATGCAGACAGGAAGGAAAAAAAATATTGAATCATTTCAGGATTAGAAGAAAGTGTAACGACCAGTTTAAGCCACTGAACAGGATTCAGCGTCAGCTTAAGTTCAGGACTGATGATAAGTGGTTTGTATTAGGCAGATTTCCAGTCCCAGCCTGCAGCAGCCTGTTCCTGGGCTGACATAATGTTGAGAGCATCATCAAATCCAACAGGTCACCACCTTCCAGGAAGGCCCCAATTCTCTGTGACTCAGCTGAGTCTGTGCTGAAATGTGCTCATCAGGGGTAACTGTGTATTTGAGCTGAGACCACCAGGCAGGATCACTGTCTTGACTTGCCTTACCTGGGCTGTTTGGACATGAACACAGCTCGATCCAACACTTGCCTTATTCAGTGATTTCCCCAGAAATATAGGTTTAAGCCAAGAAAAAAGTAAACAAAAACATCTAATAGGAAGGATAGCAGAGCCATGCTGCAGATTATCTGTGCAGAAGCTGGAGGCTCCAGCATTATGGTTTTTTTGATTGAATCTTGTCCTACTTTTCTTTTTGTCACTAAAAAAAAAAATTCAAACATCAAAAGCTTCACTAAGGAAGTATGTGATCAAGATCCTTTTAAATCTTGTCTTTGATTAATTACATCAGCTGAGTGCCAAAATAACCTCTCCAAGGTGTATTTTCCAGTTCTGGCTCTGCACATCATGAGCTCTTGGCTGCCAACCCTAATTCTTTTCAAATTCCAACAAACAAAAGCACTCTTTGGCTTTTGTAAACCACTTTTCATCAATGGACCTCAAAAGTGTTTCACAACAAATCTGATCTGTGCTGTTATTGTCATTGGTTGCAAGAATCTGTGGCACAGAAAAGCTACAAATGCAAACACAGTATTGAATATTGTCCCCGTTTGAAGTGGAAATGTCCACAGCATTAAAATAAAAAAAGCTCCTGTCCCTCAACTGAGCCACAGGACCAGACCCTGTGTGTGTTCCTGTCCATTCACAACCATAACGTAAATTAGTGCAGCAATGTAAATTAAATACAGGCTCTTTCAACTAACACTTGGAGAACTGAGCTCAGGTTTCCCAAAGGCTAGGTATATGTGCTAATTACTGGATCACTCTGTCTGAGAAGGAAGCTATCATATATAGCTTATATAGTGGGATATCCTTCCTATTTAGTCTGCTGCAATTACTCACCTGGGTGGGGCCAGAAAATAGCCTATTTGGAGATCTGCAAACCTCCTGCCCAATGCTTTCATATTGACTGGGCTGTGGGCGTGTACAATTTGAGTTTCACCAAAATCTCTTAGTCTTCATTAAAAATCTCAGCCTGCCTGGTTGACTTCAGTGCAAATTATCCAATGTTATAGCTGTGTAAGTCAGCAGATGTTTTACAGCCTCTTCTAGAAAGACTTCATGGCTCAGGTCCTCCTAAGGGCAGAGCTATTGACTAAAACTAGCACTATGCTTGAAAATAGAGCTACACTTGAACTTGCTCTCCACCTTGCTGTATGGGTGTCTGCCCAAGCTTCCTGAGGTCAGGAGGATGCCACAGTGAATATTTCTTCAGGGAGAGTCCCCATTTTGAGGGCCTGTTACAGTGAGTTGTCTTCCCAGTAATGTTCCTCTTTGCAGGCTCCATTCAGATGGATCTTAACAGGATGCCCAAACCTGCCAAGACTGCTGAGAAGTGCTCCTTAGAGCTAGTAGATGACACCTTGTCTTCAAGTCGCTTTGTATCACTCTTTGAGCAGAAAACTGTCAAGGGATGGTGGCCTTGTGTTGCTGAGCAGGATCAAAAGAAGATCCTGGCGGTAAGGTGGCCTCTTCACATGTTTAACTTGGGATTCACTCAAAGCATTGAGGAGGGATGTGGCTGAGTCAAGCGCATGCAGGATGCCATGCAAGGGCAAGGAACTCAGCCTTGGGCTGCAAATTTTACAAACTGGACCAGCTTTTATCAGTCCGATGTTTTCCAGGATTTGTCTAGCATCGTGCAAATGCTTCAGAATAAATGATTTTTTCTGTGGGATTTTTGACGTGGTTTTTGGAATGTGCCACCTACTTTGACTCCTATCACTCCACTCCCTGATAAGCAGTCCCTCTCCATCTCTCCTGTAGGCTCTCTTCAGGTACTGGAAGGCCGTTATAAGGTCTTACATTTTTAAATGTAAGTGTATGTGCCCCTGTTGAAGTCTTTGGCAACTGTTCAATACAGACAATGAATTAAGTCATTCAGCAAATGACCCTCAAGTTAGTTGCCTAAGCTTGGGTGTCAGTGACATTTGAAATGTCCTGGGATATCTGCTGAGAGTATTGTAGTGGACAGGTAAGGGATCTGGATTAAATCCACTCTTAGTGGGCTCCTCATGGTCCTTGCTTGTAGTGTTGGGTTATGCTCAAAGAACTTTTTCTTTCCCCAATCAGTATTTTGCATCACACATTCATTTCTCACCTCTCCCCTTTTTTTTTTCTTTTGTTTGTTTTTTTTTTTGTATTGTTTATAAGTTTGTTTTTGTTTAACCCACACAGGGCAAATTGGAAATGACTTTGGAAATTGTGGCAGAACAAGAGCATGAAGAGCGGCCAGCTGGCATGGGTCGGGATGAGCCAAATATGAACCCCAAGCTGGAGGACCCCAAGTAAGAGCATTTTGAATGGAAAAGTAACCACTGGGGCACAGAATTCTCAAGGAGCAGATTGAAAATCTGGGTTCCCTGTTTGAGGTCTGCTGTCTGCAATGGGCTTGCTCCATTTCTGAACTGCTGATTCTCAGACTGTATGAGCTGAGGCAATCCAGGGAGGCTGGGATGCTGGTCTGGGCAACCAAGGAGGGAATTTGACATGGTCTACCAAGAGGGATGTGGATTTGCAGGTTGAAAAGCCAGTGTGTTACACCAGGGCTTGCTCATGGGATTGGGAATCCGGGAAGGTGAAACTACTGTGAAACTCGGAAGTAATCTCAACTTTGTTTGGCTCCAGGCGCCCAGAGACCTCCTTCCTGTGGTTCACCTCCCCGTACAAGACCCTGAAGTATATCCTGTGGCGGCGGTACAAGTGGGTGGTTATCCTGGCCATCGTGCTCTTCATTTTGCTGCTCTTCCTCGGAATCTTCATCTATGCCTTCCCGGTAAGATGGGTACCAGAGAGGGCAGGGGGGCTGACTAAGTTCTTAGGTGTTCCCCAGGTCTCTGTGGCTGAGCAACCTCTGTGCTGACAGAGGAGATCCTATGCTGCAAAGGTCCCATGCTGTTCCCTGGGGAACAACGTGGTGGACCATGATGGGTCACAAAGAGAGTCTGTTTCTGGTCTCTGCTACAGACTCACTGCAAGGTGCTTACCTCTTTGCATTTTAATACACGTCTAATTGATTGTTTTCAAAGAAGTTCAAGCAGCTGATGTTGGAGGTGTTGCAGGACTGGTGGGAAAATCTTCGACAAACACGCAGCCTAATTAGCAATGCAAGCATTTTACAGGGCAAAAAAACCACACTGGTCTGTAATTGTTTAAAGATGCAGAGGAGTTTATAGGCGTTTGGGCAGCCCTGTCTCTCGTTATCAAGGCTTGGAGCATGTTATACCAATGTAATGTCTGAAATGAGAGGGAGGGTTTTCACCTCATTAATCAAGAAAGTGGCTTTTTCTTACCTTACTGTCAGTTCCACTGGCAAAACAAAATAAATAAATAAAGGAGCCCTGGCCTTCCAGTTTGGCTTGGGATGGGTTTTTGTATCCTCCTCTGTTTCTACGGCACTGGAATAATTCATGCCGGCTCTTGGATGCCATTTCCCCCCCTCTCAGACTGATAAGAAAAATGACCCGCCTCTCTCTTTCCAGCACTTAACAAATTCTACTTCTTGTATATGATTTTTTATTTTTTTTTTTAAGAAAAGAACTCATTGTGGTAATTTATAACTTCATGTGAGAGAACGTGGCTGCCTTTTGCAGATGGCTTTGTGTGCTTGCAATGTGCAACTGAAAAGCGAGGTGTGGAATTTCTCCTCGCCATCGTAATCACTTTCAGATGATTTCAAGTCGTGCATGCTTGGTTGTTCCCGTCTAGAAAAAAGTGGACGGAATTAGGTCATGGCTCTCCCCATCTTTCTATCCTCATATCCATGGGAGGAACTGGAATACTTCTCCTGCTGGAGATGTGATTCCTGAGGTGCTAAGTAGTATGAAGGAGGAAATATTGTATAAGTGCAGATTACTGCTGCATTGCCTCCTCCCTGCCCTTTACTTGGAGCTACTCGTGGAGACTCCCCTTTGTGTCAAGTAGCATAAACCAGGCCTTTTCGACCAAGAACTCAGTGTTTCCCTGAAGCTGCAGTGGCTTTGCATTCGTTCCAGTGGTATCACAAAAAAACAACGTTGAGAGAAGAAAAATTCGCAAACTATAAATATTGATTTACACTCATTATTACTTGGGATTTTTCCCTGCTCCCTAGCTAAATGTTGTTGTATTTAATTTCATTTTGGTCGGGTCAATTTTTAGTCATATTTTGAAAAAGTAAGGCCATGTTTCATGGAATTTTTCTGGTTTTATGTATTTGGCCAGCTTCCCCTAGATTTTTGAGGTCACTGGTTCTGTATCTACTTGGAGATTTAGTTCTTTTCCCATTTCATCAGGCACTAAATTTGGCAATTGTGCTGCTGATGGTTTGCTATGAAGGGTGCCCCTGGCATCTTGACCTTTGGCAGGGCTCACCATTACATCCCAGACTAAATGCATGGAAAAACAATCCCTCCTCACTTCTGTTCTGATTTGCGTGCCAGGAGCATGATCAGGCCCCATTTAAAATAAGGACCTTGCTGCATTTAATGCTGTGTATGTAATCTTGCCACTACATATGCAATTTTGAGGTCCCACGCTGCACATAGAGGGTTTTATGTGTGTCCTGCCCCTCTCATCCTGGGAAAAGAGGTGGATGATGGGAGAGAAACCTGAAGGGAATCCAATAGGTTACGTAGATCAGTCTGAGAAGGAAGAGGTTAAGGAACAGGGATGCTACTTGGTGCATTCAGAGGTGAAGTCATTATTTTTCTGCTTCTGTTGCCCTTTTGCACTATGGCCTTCCATGAAGAGCTTGTCCAGAGCTTTCTGCTTGTTGGGACCTCCGCTGGGACCTCCTGGGTGCTTCCAGTCATTGCTTTCCAGCAGCTGGTCCTTGGCTCAGCAGGAGCCCCTGGACCTGTCTGCAGTCAGTCTGAATGCCTTTCATACAGCCCCTCCACCTGGGGGTGTTGTGCACCACGCACCACATGCCGCCAGAGAAGTCTGGGCCCTGCCTTTAACTCAGGTGTCTTGTTTGTACTCTGCCTGAGGATACCAAAGGAAGAGATCTTCTACCTGAGAAATATATATCCAAAATACACCCTGGAAAACTAATGGTCCTGTGAGCTATGCTAACTAACTGTACATAAGTCCCCCCTCATCGCCTTCCAGGCAGACAAGAATCTCACCTGAAAACAAACCCAGGGTATTTTCATCAGCTCTTGGTACAAATATGGGATTTTTTTTCTTAATTTATTCCCGCTGTCCTACAGTGCTGAAAGCTTCTAGCCACAGTCCCAGCTTTGTGGTCAGAGTAGCTGGAGAGTCAGAACAAATGTCCCATTTGAAAGCTGTGTGCTACCACCCGAAATGGTGAAGGTCTGTCTTGTGGTTCTTGACAGTAATGCCCAAATAACAGTGGTTCAGGCTTTTCAGTGAAAACAGAGAAGCTGATGTCTCGGTCTTGTTCAGAATACCCATCAAGAGATGCTTTACATCCCAGGGAAGTATTCTCCCTATTGAGGTGAGAAACAAAATATTCTGCAAAATATTATATGCCAGTATTCTGCAAAATATATATGCCTTTAGAGCTACTTCAGGGGATCAGAAACCTTTGAAGATTCAATGCCTTTGTGCTTCCCCCATCCTCAGGACACAGAGTATATGTGATTGATCATGGGCTGGAATAAAGATTGTCCCATTCCTCCTCTCAGGTCCTCTTCAAAGCCTCCTTCCCAGGGGAGCTTTGTGCAACCAGCAGTTGTTTTTCAGCCAGAGAACGTGCCGTGGATGCCCCAGTGGGATCTGGGGTCCCTGAAAGGAGCAGGAGGAGATCTGCAGAAGTGGGGAAGGGTCTGGAAGTGCTTTGGGATTAAGAGGAGGTTCATCAGGACCCAAGGGGAGCTAGGAGTACTGCAGTACGGGAAATTTAGGCACAAGTCCATAAGAAATCAGTCATCATTAGCGCAACTGTTTACAGAGCAACTTGTTTTAGTGGGTGAGAGGCCATTTCCAACTGAAAAGCTTTTTGGTTTTGGGTGGAAAACTGCATGGTATTGCAGATTTCCATAAAATAAAGTTGTCTAGTTTTACAGAAATGGGAAAAAATGTTGAAAATCTGATATTCTGAGGTTCTTAATTTTTTCACTTGAGCTCTTCCACCCAGTCTTAGTGTCAGATTACTCACTGGTTTGCCTTAGCTTTCTTTGCAAAGTGGTTGTCATTATGGTCTGTACGAGCTAGGACTCTGGGAACTTCATTCCCTGGATATTTCCTATATGATTTCCTCAGATGGTCCTTAGATTTAACTTGACATCAGAAGAGCCCTTAAACAACAGACTAAAGTATAATGAGACCCAGTAGCTGGAGGCTGAAGCTAGAGGAACTGTTCCAGTGGAAATAGGATGCTAATTTTTGAGACGAAGGGTAATTAACCATTGCAAAAATTTGCCAAAGGTTGTGGTAAATTCATCATTGCTCATGGCGTCCCCGTATCAAGATTGAATGTCTTTCTACCAGATATGCTCTGGTTCCATCCCATGCTCCTGTCCAGCAGTGCTCATTTACGGCACGCTGTGGGGCTTTTTGGAAAGGTCCAGTGACTTTGATGGACTTCTCATCTGACATTGCCATAGCTGAGAAGAGCTCTGCCTTCTGCTATGGGGACAGTTGAGTGAAAGTCTTGGGCCAGACACAAGGTCAGAAAAAAAGGTTATGAAAGTCCAGCCTGAGCTTCTGCATCCGTAATGTGTAGGGAATACAGAGGTTAAGTTAACTCCCCAAAGTAGAGATTATTGTAAAGATTTCAGTGGCTACCACCGTAGAAAAATGTAATGCTACTTCCAGCTGGAGCCAGCTCTGCTTTGCAGCACCATGAAAATGTTTACTACCTTTTAAAGCTCTATTTGTGTTCTGCAAGCCCAGTGTTGCTTCCATTGCCATTAATTCTAATTACAGCTTGCTTTCTGCGCTGATTGATAATCCTGCTTGGCTTTCAACACTTCCTTAATACAAATTCATAGCTGGACAGAAAGCTTGCTACCCTCCAGAATGCAACCAGTCAAATCATAAAAAATAGGAGTATTTTGGAGGATAGACTCTGAAAGACAAATGGATGGATAATTAATTCGAAGGCTATATGTCACTGGAGGCTTTTCTAATGACTTCTGGTAAACTGCCCTAACTTTGCTTGCGTGATTTATGGCATTATTAGAAATCCTCAGTTGGCAAACTGCCTTATAATTTGCTACACGTTGTAATTTATCAAGATGCCTTTGGTCAGACTTTACTTCTGTTGTATTTTTTTTTTCCTCTTTTTTCCCCATTCCTCCAAAGATCTTGCTGGTAACGAACATTATGCTTTGTTTCCAAAGTTGTTTTTTCAAAGTGACAGAGTGATAGAACATCCTGTACCAATTAAATTCAATATGCTTGGGAGGGACTTCCAAACTGGCTAGTATGTGGTCGTGGGGGTTTGAATCAGAGCTACTTTAAATATAGCTGTTTCCAAATGACCTAACCATGCATCTTCGTCTGTATTTTCATTGTGGTCTTGATAAGCAGTGTTACACAGCTTATTCTTTTTCACAGCGCTGTCATCTTCTTTCAAGGAAGGAATTGCACATATAATAGGCTAAAATACTGTGACACCTCATTTTCCGTGGCAGCCCCATACTTCACCGTGGAATAACAGGGACTGTACAGATCCCAGAAAACAGGCACAGGAAGGTCTTGCCTGGGATGTCTGCTTTTAGGGACAAAAACCACACCAAAGGCTGATGCTGAAACAGATGGCTGAGGCATTAAGGGATGCAGAAAAGGCAGAGGAGAAAAAAGAAATCAACAATTGGTTTGCCTTTTCTTGATTGTCTTTGGCAGATTCTTTGGAGCTAGTCCATGGACCTGCAGGCTAGGTTTGTACTAAGAAACTAAATCAGGATGAGGCAGGGCTGGAGAGCCATCCTCTTGCTGTTCAGAGCGACTGATTGCTGGCATGATCCTGGGCGCAGATTTTGGCCTGTGAAAAGCAGCTCTCTCCAGAAAATGTCAAGGCACAACTTGGCGGATGCCTGGGGACCAGCGCCAGGGCCTGTTTTCAAGGGTCCAACCCAATAGGCAGAGCAGATGAGGTCACCAGTTTTGGGGGGATCATGGGGAGAAGGAGCCATAAGGATGAAGTCAAGGCATGGGTAGTGAATAGAGCCCTGTGGGTTTGTGGGGGAGTAGCACAAAGAGAGAGCAGAGCGGAAGGGGCACCAGGATGCAGAGGAGAGAGGGAGGCTGGGGAAACTCAGAGAAGAGCTGGATGTGTCTCCTCACCTGCAAGAAAGGCATGTGGGCACAGGGATGGTGCTGTGGTAAGATGCCAAAGTTCTCGCAAGGGTATGAAGAGCAGGAAATTTATCTTAAAAACTTGGTGAAAAGAACAATTGAAGTCCAGGAGTGACTCCTGGTGCTTGCTGCTTGTGACCAGTAGCCTCTACTGGAAGAAGACAAGACCCGTTTTCTCATGTGTGGGCTTTCTACCATCCGTGCTAACAGGCATGCACTTAGTGCTTGCTGGTCTCTGCAGGCTGGGGCTCTGAGCTTGGCCATCATGCTTGCCCTGAATGCAGGCTCATCTGCAGTACCTCCTGTACCTGCTTCAAATCAACCTTTCTTTCCCTTGTTTTTCCATCCCTCTAGAACTATGCTGCTATGAAACTGGTGAAACCTTTCAACTGAAGCTGTGCTGGAAGATGCCACACAGGTCCAGTGCCTGCCTGAAGATTTTGGAAAGAAGTTGTGGCTCTGCACTGGATCACATCCGCAGGTGGAGACGGAGAAGGAACAGCTTCCCTCAGGCCCTCGGCTGCTACAAAAAATGATGATACAATTTACCCTGATGCAGTATGCAGAGTCCCACCTACAGCACACACCTCAGAAGCAGCACGTAAAAAATAGCAATTCTGAAATATTTCTTATTTTACTTCTTTGTCTGTTGTCTCCTTTTTTTTTTTTTTTTTTTTCTTGGTTAAGCTGCTCTGATTTGTGGAGCTTGAATACCAGTGCAAAACTGAAAAAGGTGGAGAAGAAAAGGACCTTTTCATTTATAGTCTGTGGGCACACAAAGATGTTGCAGACCTTAGCAGAGAAGTTATGGGCTGCTGGCATAGGCAGCACGTGCAAGCCAAAATCTCTCAGGTTCTGAGCACAATTTTCTTTGCACTCTGAACAAGCCTCAGTTTTCCTTTGCTGTGCAATGCATGTTATCTTGTTTATATATCTCTACTGAAGAAGAAATATACTGCACAGCCTGAAACCATGGGCTGAGATGTTGCCTTTCCAAAGTGAGCAGAAACCAGATACAGGACCCAGGGAAGAGGCTGAGATGCAAAAACTGGGCAGGAGTTGGTGGTAATTGCTAAATCCCAAACCCCATTGAAATTTGCATTCATGAATGACTGCACAATCTGGCTTATGTTTTTTGGACCTTGTTTTCCCTCTGAGCTGCTCTTTCACCTCTACAGTCCCACGTGCCACCCTTCAAAACCAGTGCTGTTAGGGCAGACAATGTAGAGCTGGGCTGAGCCCCTGCCCTAAGAACAATGCCAGGAGCAAAGCAGTGCAGGTGGACTCTGCTTTTCTCCTCTCCTACTATATGCAACCCCTGCGGCCACAGTTCAGTGAATTAGCCTTTCTTCTCTTGTGCTCCCAAACATGCTTAAGCAAAACAGTATGAACCAGAGTGCAGTGTAAGCTGTGAAACTCACTGCTGGTGGGAGCTGATGAGGCAGATAACCCGCACCTTTGGAAGTGGGCTGGTTTGTTTTCTGCTTGGCAAACAAATTATTGTGAGACGCATCCCACAGGTCTTGCTCAGCCTCCTGATGAGCAAATGGCAGCTGTGACAGGACTGGGATGGCAGTGTTGGGACATTTCTGCTGTTTTTTATTCCCTCCTGTTCTCCGTCTGTCTCTGTGCTGGTGCGATTGGATGGAGTGGTATGGACTAAGGGGATTTCTGGGGTTTTGTCGTGCTGGCTGATGTCATGATGCTAATCAAAACAGTCTCAAATTTTCATCCTGCATCCACTCATCCTGCAAGAAACCATCTACCAGCATAGGGCCATTAAGCATGAAAGCACATGTCCCTTTGAGAGACAGCAGTCCTGCTGCTCTGGCACAGCATGACTTTTGCTACAGTCCCTCTGACGATAAATAGGTCTTTCCCTGCTGCCCTTCAGCAGGATGAGACATGTCTTCCTCGGTTTCATTTGTCCCCTGGAGCTGTTGCTTCTCAGCATGACATGTGAGAGCAAGTAGCAGTGAAAAGTGATCCTGGGGGATCAGAGGTTCTCAGGACAAACTGTGCTAATGTAAGCTCCTGTCCTGCTCCAGCAAGGCACTTAAGCCTGTGCTTAGCAGAAAGCAGGGAAAAAAAGCACACGCCTAATTGCTTTGCTGGATTGGGATGTAATGCATTGAGCATTAAATCCTTTATTATTCAGTACTGTAACAGCACCCAGACTGCACAGGGCAGCTCACTCCCATGTGTGAAGACAGTGTCTTTGACATGGAGAACATGCAGCTATAAAAACCCGTCCTTGCTGCTGAGGTTTGGCTGATCCAGCATCCCGTTCCCAAAAGCTTAAGCAGTGAAGTTGGCTCTGGACTTGCATGCCCCAGGGTGGGTGTTTCATTTTACCGGCACAGTTAAATGCTTCATTTTGCATTTGTTCAGTTTTTTCCTAGAAGCCTCCCAGGCTCATTTGCATCCACACCCCCATTTATTAGCCACTATCAAACTACCAGGTCTTGGTCAAATTTTCTGTAATGCTTTCTCCCTGAGGATCTGGTGAGCGGAGGGCAAAAGTTGCTTGTGTTTACACCTTTCTTAATGAGTTTTGGGGTTTATATTTTATGAAAATGTTGGTGTGGCTGGTCCTTGCACCTCTTCCACCATGACCCAGCTCTGCCAGGGGGGTGTCTGCATATCTTGCTGAGTGCTGGCTTGCTTTGCTCTCCTATCTGTGGTGGGAAATCAGGCTCAGTATTTAACTTCCTTTCTTTGGTTTGCAATGACTGTGAAATTTCCCGTCTCGGCATTATTGGTCTGTGACCCCAACTTGTTTCAGAAACAAAATCTTGGTGCCAAGAGCCCCAAAGAGATGAGTGACTCATGCTTGAGTGCAAAGCACTGCTTATATCTGGGTGCTCATCACCCATCCTACCACAACAACCACTGTCTATCCCAGCAGAAACAATTAACCTTACCAAAACACACTCATGTGTTACCTCTTCAGAGCCTTTACCAGTAATAAACCAGATTTAATTCCCCAGCACTTACCAACAGCTCTTTCTTGACAAATCAGAGTGGGTCATCAAGATGGGAGAGCAGGATCCAGGGCATTCAGCTGCATAAGGAAGAGGAAGGGGTTACACCCCTGCATGCAATCCTCTGTGCTCCCAGCCCAGGCTGCAGGGCCAGTTTTCATGCCAAGGAGACTCTGTGGGGCTGTGGTGGGTAAAAGCAGGTCTGAGTGTCTGAAAACACCAACTTAGTCCCATTTGCATTACTGCTTGAACAGCCATATCCATCTGTTTGCCTGACTGTGGGCGCTCCGTAGCTTGGTTCTGTCTCTCCACAAAATCCAGCCAGCAGGTAGGATCTGTGTAAAGTATTCCCTGTGTCTCCCTGTTATTCAGGGGTTTGAAATGGCTGGAAGACGTATATATCACCTGTCTATGCCTTATATACAATAATGCAAAATGCACTGTGGTTACAAATGAAAAGCTCTGAAACCTTCTGCTTCCTGGTGTGTTTTATTGTGTTGATAGAATTACAGCACCCTCCCTCTTTGGTGTGGGGATGCAAAAATGCAGCTGGAAGGAACGAGACAGGGAAGAGGTGGTTGCTGTGCTCTTATTTTCTCACCTCTCTGAAAATGTGAAGAAGGGAGGACAGACGTGGGACGGGGGCTGGAATGCTCCTGGGTAACGTAGCCACATGTACATCTGCCAGCTGCATTTTCTACCTGAGATGCTCTGTTGCAGAACAGTGGAATGACCCAGCTGTGACAATGTGCGTGGTCCCCTGAAGGTTCCCTGATCTATGACACCATGAAGGCTTTACATGGGGATCACACACCTTGTCCTGTGAAACTGAGACCATGTATACTGGCTCAGAAGGCTGATCTGTGATCTGGAGCGTCCATGGGCCAGCAGGAGACACACTCATGCGAGCAGGTTTGGTGAAGGAGCCACGGGGAGCTCATATTGTCCATGGCTTTGGGCAGTCAACCTCCAGCATTTTTCTGGTGAGTCACTTGCAAAGATGTTGCTTCCCACTTCATTTACAGACCTGAACACCCAAAATATGCCCGTTGAAAGCCAGGGCTTGCTGGAGAGGAGGGTGGATGGCTGGGGGAGAGGGCAAAAGAATCCCACAAATTTCACCTCCTGCTGCAGTAGGGAAGGCAGAAAGAGTTCACCCCACCTGTCTGATCCATGCCTGTGCAGATGTACATTAGGATGGGCCTGAGCTACTGGAATGCAAATATCCAGATATTCTCAGGACTCAGCCCTGGCAGGTCTCGGACCAAGTGAGGGCCCTTCTTCTGCCTGTCTCTGCTCCTCTTTCTGTTTCTGGACTTCACTCAAAAAACAACCTGACTTCATTCAAAAACCCTTTGAGCCTGGGTCTGTTTCTTCCCTAGAGGGAAAGGTTCATCCAGCCAACACAGCCATCATCCAGAGTGACCCAAGGATTAATTCTCTAACATCTTTTGGAGCTGTTCAGTACCAACAGGCTGTTGCAAGGAGACACTCCAGGTATGCAGAGAGATTTGCTGTTGGGATTGGGGCCGTTTGTCCCTGAATCCCCAAATGCCTTTCCATTGCTCTGGGAGGGTGCAGATGGGCACTCCCTGCTTTGGCGCAGGAGGCCCCCTCCACTACATCATGTTTTGGATTGTGTCTGGGATTTAGAGAGGCAGGGCATGGGGAGGCCCAAATGCCCTAGACTTCATCTGAGGAAGACACAGGGGTTTGAGCGGGCACCCTGAGCTGGCATCATCCAAACCCAGTCTGCCAAGCCCCACTGCAGCATCTTACACCCCACACATCAGTGGGCAGTCCCAGAGGGGGACCAACCATGTCACCATGCTGAAGGCACAAGATCCTCGCTGGGAAGGAGTGGGTGGCAGGAGATGAGAGGACGGATCTTGCCTGTATGCCTTTGCCTGCCCGTGCATGGATGCGTGCAAAAGTTAATTGCAAAATGTTCCGCTGCTTGAACACTTTTGTGATGCGCTTTTTTTTTTTCCTACTATTTCTTCAGCCTCCAACTTGATGTTATATATAATTTAAGGCTGGAGTTATGAAGTGTGTGAGCTCCTTCAGGGATGCCCTGACAACACCCTGTTGTGTTTCACACTGCCTGGGCTCAGCCCCACAAGCCATAGGGCAGCGAGACGGGAAGCTGGAAAGCTGCCACCCCGCATAGGGGCTGAACTCCCTTAACCTCTACCAGGCTGGCTGGCACATTCAGAAAAATCTAGCAAAAAGAGCTGAACTGATTTTTCTCTTGAACAGTAATAATTTTGTATTCATTTCCTGGTCTTATTTGCTCAGAAGAGAGAGGTTTCCACCCAGAGGGTGGCTTGCAATGAAGTGGTTTGAGGGGAGGGGGGGGTGCAGGGGGGAGGCAGAAAAGGGGTGGGAACCAGGTCAAGGCGCATCCATAAAAATGCTTTGCGAAGCTGCTAGCAGTTGTGTTTGTTGGTTTAACCCCTGTGGATGGGGCCTGCGATTGGTTTTGCTCATTACCTGCTGACAGGATGGGAAAATGCCTGGTGCATTGGAGGTCAGGAGAGTTGACCTAATAGGATGATCTGTAGAGAACACCATTGTGGCCTCCTGGCCCCAAAGCCCATTAATCTTCCAATGGAAAAGTAGAGATAGTCCTAACCTCAAGTGACACAACTCATTTCAGTCTTAATTTGAGGTCTAATCCCTTAAAATAGTCCCAGACATGGAAGGCTGTTTACTGGCCCTGGAATGTCCTCCCTGGTAGAGGCAAGCACAGAGGGGGTTATGATAATTATAAAGGCTGCTCCTTTGGCTCTGGAGATCCTGGACTGATAGCTTGAGCTTTCTATCAGCCTTCTCCATGGATAGCACTGTGGCATCGCTGCCGGGACAGCTGCTAGCCCCATCCATGTGGCTGCAGTCTCTCTTCATCCTAGACAAGCCAAACATCATTCACCTGGGGAATGATCTGTGCATCGTGCCTTCTGGGCTCTGCTCTGCACTGAGTGAGGATGGAGACACCCAAGCAATGGGGCGTGAAACTACTGTGTCTTCGTCTCTGCTGTGCATCAGCTTCCAGAAGGAAAATGAGCTTTCTTTACCCTGTCTGCTTTTCTCATTCACATCCCAGGCTCCTCAAATAACCAATGCTTTAAACACGCTTTGCAGCAGAGCAGGCTCAGTGGCGTGAAGCTTTCTTTTACCTTTGAGTGCAACTTGGTCTGTGCTGTGGCCTTTGGGCTGACTCCAGGGAGAACCCCGGGCTGCTCGGCTCCATGTCACTTGGCTGCTCTGTCCCTGTCTCGGAGCAGTGTCAGGGCTCCTTGTCCATTAGGAGTAAAACTGTATAGTTGTACCAGACATGTTGAACAGGCTCCCTGGCACTGCACGATGGGTGTCCTAGTTTCTCCTCCTGCAGCTCCTGGGGCAGCAACAGCCTGCACATCCATGAAGATCCTCTCCAATGCTGCTGGTGAAGTCCGTGGTTTGCTCAGCACAGCAAAGCTGTGAGATTGGCACAGGGGTGAGACCAGGCGTCAGTGATGCTGTCTGTGGCTTAACTCTGCCATGGGCTAAAGTTTTGAGTGAGAGAGACTGTTTCTACTGAAGTGTTTTGGTTCTGTGCAAGTCACTGATAGGGTGAGGAGGCAGAAGCGCACCTTAACCTGGTTTTCTGCTGGAAAGCTCCAGATCAGAACTAGGGATGCTAACTATTGGGCGCTTAACATTAATTTTTACAGTTACTGATGCTATGGTAACAATACAAACAGTAATGCTGCACATGCAGATGTTACTGAAGGCTCATTCAGGAGTCAGGCATCTTGGTGCTAGGAGCTGTACCACTGCAGAAAAATGGTCACTGTCTCCAGAAAACTAAAATAAACTGTTCCTCTTGGGCAATATTTTGAATGGATATTGGAGAAAAGCAGTGGCACAACCACAGCTATTTTTCTCTACATAGGCATTAGGTTTTATGGGTTACATATCTTCTCTCTGCTCCCTGTGACACCTTACAAACAGATAGAGCCACGCTGCCAGCTCTACCTTGGCACTGTCCCTGGAGGACCTCTACCCACCAGCTGTGTCTGTGCCCTCAGGGTCTGGTGCTTAAGCTTTCTGTTCATCCATCCTGGCCACAGCAGCCTGCTGTCACAGGCAAAGTCAGTGTCTCACAGCTCTGATACTGCTCAACTTCAGAGGAGCTCAAATCGACTGATGCTGGCTGCAGAGAAAGATGCAGCAGGTTTGGAATGCAAACAGACCCAGTTGTAATCTGTCGCAACGCTGAATTACATGCTTAAGGTAAGGTCATAATATTCAAGATAATACTTAGGTCAGTAACAGATCAGCATGAGGAAAACCCACCAAGGCTCTGTGCTCTCCTCCATGCTCTGCGCTTTCATTGCCCCCTTGATTCCTGGCTCCGTGGGAAGCTGTACCCCAAGCAGTTTGTTTTTAGCAACCAGGCATTTTTGCTCTGTGTACGCAGGCTCTTGTCTCTCTTTCCATGGACGTCTGCTCAGTCTAACATCTCACACATCCCTACCTGCGTGCTAGATGTCTACCTTTAGTTTCAGGCCAAACACATGTTCATCCAGACCATGAGATGAGAAAATAACCCCAGCAAAGGGTGGCTGTAGCTGCTGCTGCTTTGTTTAGCCAGGACTGAATGACTGTCACACTGCCCAAACCCCGCCCGAGGCAGTGGGCACAGACAGACCATCTTCTCCCTTGGCCTCCTGGGAAGGGGCATCAGCATCGGGAATGGGGACCATATTCCCTCCTTGCAATATTTGCAGTCCTTAGCTGGTGCAGGGTCAAGACATCAAAGTGTCTTGTCCTGCTTCACAGTCCTGGAGCAATCATTTTGTGTTCAGTCTTTAGCAGCTGATGGGATCCAGCTGAGATGTTTATTCGTGGCTGAGTGAATCCCATCAACAAGTCTGGAGAACATGGACTGAAAATTTCTTATCCCCTCATACTATGACTCTAGGACACTATGACTGAGGAACAAGAACAAGGAAAGGAAGGAAACATGAATGTGATCCACATTGGCATGTTTGCACCCTTGTGTGAATTAGTAGCCACAGGACGAAGCAGAGTCTCAGAACAGGACTGTAAGTGAGGCTGAGAATTTCTGTGTAGAGAAATGACTTTTCCCATTAGGTCACAAATAGAATTCTAAATGATTGCAAAACAAGTTATACAAGAGGATGGGTGCTGCAGGGTTTAACACACCCTTTGTCACTTCTCTGCCCCCCTTCTGGATCACAGGCAGGAGATGAGAACAAATGGTTCTTCAAGCCTGGAGGGTACTGCCTACATGCCATGTCATGAAAGAATTGTGCAAAGAAAACATGGACATCAGTGAATTAAGGTCTCGGGCTTTGAATCAAATCAATACCACAACAAGAAGTGCCTTGTGCCCTTTTCATCACGCCCACAAGATTTTAGGGTACAGAAAGGTCTCAGCCACATCTGTCTCACTGTGGTAAAG